AGGGGGTGGTCCCTGAGCGCGGCCGCTATGCACGACGGTCGTCCAGGCACAGCAGGCGCGGAACTTTCTCGACACCAGAGGGGGTGTGCAGGCGGTGGTCCCTGAGCTCGACCGCTATGCACGACGGTCGCCCAGGCACAGCAGGCGTGGCACTTTCTCGACACCATAAAAAGGGGGTGTGCAGGGGGTGGTCCCTGAGCTCGGCCGCTATGCACGACGGTCGTCCAGGCACAGCAGGCGTGGCACTTCCTTCGTGGGGTTTTGGTTTTCTTCCCACCCGCGCCGCACCCGCGTCTCACCCACACCCGCCCTCCTCCCCTCCTCCTCCTCCTCACACAGCGCAGCGCAGCGCAGCGCAGCGCAGCAAAGCACAGAACAGCAAATCACAGCGCAGCGCACACAGCACAGCACAGCACAGCACAGCACAGCACAGCACAGCACAGCACACACACACACGGCTTGGCACGTGCGGCACATTCTCGACGCCATAAGGGTCGTCCACGGCACAGCAGGCGTGGCAGTTTTGCACAGCACACCTGCACAGCACAGCGCAGCATAACACAGTACAGCACACCGCAGCACAGCACGGCACGGCACAGCACAGCACATCGCAGCACAGCTCAGCACAGCATAGCACAAAAGGCAGGCGCGCAGGGCACGGCACGGCAGAGCGTGGCAGGGGTGGCACTTTCTCGACACCACAGGGGGTGCGCAGGGGGTGGTCCCTAAGCTCGGCCGCTACGCACGACGGTTGTCCAGGCACAGCAGGCGTGGCACTTTCTCGACACCATAGGGGGTGCGCAGGGGGTGGTCCTTGAGCTCGGCCGCTGTGCACGACGGTCGTCCAGGCACAGCACGCGTGGCACTTTCTCGACACCATGGGGGTGCGCAGGGGGTGGTCCCTGAGCGCGGCCGCTATGCACGACGGTCGTCCAGGCACAGCAGGCGTGGAACTTTCTCGACACCATCAGGGGGTGCGCAGGGGGTGGTCCCTGAGCGCGACCGCTATGCACGACGGTCGTCCAGGCACAGCAGGCGTGGCACTTTCTCGACACCATAGGGGGTGCGCAGGGGGTGGTCCCTGAGCTCGGCCGCTATGCACGACGGTCGTCCAGGCACAGCAGGCGTGGCACTTTCTCGACACCACAGGGGGTGCGCAGGGGTGGTCCCTGACGCTCGCCGCTATGCACGACGGTCGTCCAGGCATAGCAGGCGTGGCGCTTTCTCGTCATCATCGGGGGTGCGCAGGGGGTGGTCCCTGAGCTCGCCGCTATGGAAGACGGTCGTCCAAGCACAGCAGGCGTGGAACTTTCTCGACACCACAAGGGGGTGCGCAGGGGGTGGTCCATGAGCTCGGTCGATATGCACGACGGTCGTCCGGGCACAGCAGGCGTGGCACTTTCTCGACACCATAAAGGGGTGCGCAGGGGGTGGTCCCTGAGCTCGGCCGCTATGCACGACGGTCGTCCAGGCCCAGCAGGCGTGGCACTTTCTCGACACCATAGGGGGTGCGCAGGGGGTGGTCCCTGAGCGCGGCCGCTATGCACGACGGTCGTCCAGGCACAGCAGGCGTGGCACTTTCTCGACACCATAAGGGGGTGTGCAGGGGGTGGTCCCTGAGCTCGCCGCTATGCACGACGGTCGTCACGCAGGCGTGGTAGGGGGTGCGCAGGGGGGTCTGAGCTCGCCGCTATGACGACGGTCGTCCAAACACAGCAGGCTTTCTCGACACCATAGGGGGTGCGCACTGACTATGGACGACGGTGTCCAAACCAGCAGGCGTGGCACTTTCCGCACCACGGGGGTGCGCAGGGGGTGGTCCCTGAGCTCGGTCGGATACGCACGACGGTCGTCCAGGCACAGCAGGCGTGGCACTTTCCGACACCAGAGGGGGTGCGCAGGGGGTGGTCCCTGAGCTCGGCCGCTATGCACGCCGGTCGTCCAGGCATAGCAGGCGTGGCACTTTCTCGACACCACGGGGGGTGCGCAGGGGGTGGTCCCTGAGCGCGGCCACCATGCACGACGGTCGTCCAGGCACAGCAGGCGTGGCAGTTTCTCGACACCACACGGGGTGCGCAGGGGGTGGTCCCTGAGCGCGGCCGCTACGCACGACGGTCGTCCAGGCACAGCAGGCGTGGCACTTTCTCGACACCATAGGAGGTGTGCAGGGGGTGGTCCCTGAGCCCGGCCGCTACGCACGACGGTCGTCCAGGCCCAGCAGGCGTGGCAGTTTCTCGATCGACACCACAAAGGGTGCGCAGGGGGTGGTCCCTGAGCGCGGCCGCTATGCACGACGGTCGTCCAGGCACAGCAGGCGTGGCACTTTCTCGACACCATAGGGGGTGTGCAGGGGGTGGTCCCTGAGCCCGGCCGCTATGCACGACTGTCGTCCAGGCCCAGCAGGCGTGGAACTTTCTCGACACCATAGGGGGTGCGCAGGGGGTGGTCCCTGAGCGCGGCCGCTATGCACGACGGTCCAGGCACAGCAGGCGTGGCACTTTCTTGACACCATAGGGGGCGCGCAGCTGTAGCATCATAATCGTCATCATCATCAAGAATTGTAGCCACCCTGGCTCATGCGGGCTCAGACTGCTGGATCTGTGAATGCGGACGGCCGCCAGTGACTCTCCGTCAAAGGTACGGTCCCCGTCATGGCGCCCAAATGCGCAATGTCTGCTTTGCCACCGCCTTGCGAGCAACTCAAGAAATCAATGCAAGAAATGGGAGCTGAGGTGAGCCTGGATGGTTTGCGAATATATGTTTTCCGGCATGGAACGCCTTGGCACGCGGCGCATTTGATGCTTACCACCGACAGCTGGCAAACTGGTGGCCTGACACGCTCCTCACCAGGTACAACGAGTTGCCGCGGTGGTCTGACACGCCGGTCCCCTCACTCTCCTCCGCCCCCCCCTCTACCTTCCCGCCTCTGCCTCCCTCCTCCATGCCGCTGCTCCCGCAAACGTCGCGTTCGTCGTCGTCGCCGTCGTCTTCGTCGTTGTCGTGTTCGTTGTCCTCGTCGTACTCGTCGTCGTACTCGTCGTCGAAATCGTCGTCGTACCTCGTCGTCGCACTCGGGGGCGCTCCTGCCCTCTCCGCTCTACCTGCCCTCGACCATCCCTCTCCTCCCTCCTGCTGCCACTGCTCCTCCTCCTCGGAGGCCCGGGCGCCGCCGCCGCCGCCGCCGCCGCCGTCGTCGTCGTCGTCGTCGTCGTCGTCGTCGTCGTCGTCGTCGTCGTCGACGATTGTTGGAGTGACTCATCTGGTTGGTTTGGCTGGTCTGCTTGATTGGCCTGGCTGGCTGGTCTGATTAGTTTGGCTTGTTGTGGCTGGAATGACTGATCTGACTGGTCTGGTCAGTCTGGCTGGTCTGGCTCAAAAAGGCGAAGCGGGATGTGACATGGTTTGTGAACACACGTGACATAAAATAAGTATGTGGGGTTCCTCGGTAGCGTAATTGAATATTCCCCTTGTGGACGCGCCCCCCCCCAGGCTTCGGTCGGGAGTGCCCTCCTACAAGCGAATCTTGGACGAGAGTTAAGGCACATACACGTATACAGTGCTCAAGCATGCGCAGAACATAGTCCAAAAGATCGTCCCCGTACTATGTTTTGACTGTGTTCGTTCGTTTCTCCCGTAGAGGGGCGGACATGCTGGCCTACCCCCAGCGCCTATCCCCGGGTGGTTTTCGGGGCACAACTCGACCGCACGGCGGCCGCCCCTGGCGATCAGGGACACTCCTGGAACGGTCTCTGCGAGGCCCCACCGCTGAAGCCATCCCGATGCTGGAAGTCCGCGGAGAATCGATGAAAACATGAACCTCGATTCCGAGCAAGTCGTCTCCCCCCGGGCCGATCTTCCGGAGGATCGCGCCGCATCGCCAGTGTGAAGCCCGATATTGCCCACGCCGACGGCGCCGATGCATCACCGACGTCGGCGATGCGGCGCGATCCTTCGACCCAATTTGCTCCGACCTGAGCATCGTCTAACCGACCCCTAGCGTGGCCTGGGCCCCACAGGCCGATTTACCCCTCTAAATGAATAAGTAGTAAATGGGCTGTTCCGTTCGGGTATCGAAGGGCAGATCCCCAACTGAGGTGGTGAGCGGGATGGGGATGAGACTCGGGATTGGGGTCGTTTAAACGATAATTACTGACGACCGCATCCCCAAACATGCGATGTCCTGAAGTTTTCAACACGCGAACCCCAAAAATGCCTGACACTTTCCCCGCGGCCGGCTTCTAATCCTCGACGAGTTGTGGACGGTCCCGAGGCCCGGCAAGGGCCCACAGAGGCAGAACATGAGGCATAACCTCCCGCCTTGATTTCGGGAGCGGCACAGAGGGGGGTGTCCAAGAGGGGGGGGTGCAAATCATGACTGGCGGCATGTGCGCGGCGCGCGGCCCAGCGGGGGGGGCCAGGGACGCAATGAAACAAGAAGAGGCGCCATGAAATCTGGGGAAATATCATGGCTCCCGCCACGATATCCACACCCCCCTGGTCATCACCCCCTCTTTTCCGCCCCGAAGATTGCTGCCCCGACTCGGGGGTCTGGGCCGGGAGACGCTGGGTGAAAGGCCGAGAGGCTCGCGGGCGGGCCTGCGCCGCCCGCGCTCGGCCCGTCGGACGAGCGCCCTCGAGCGGCCGAAGGCGCGCCACCCGCTCGCGCGTGGCCTGCTCGCTGCTCCTCCTCTCCTCCTCCTCCTCTCTCCTCCTCCTCCTCCCTCCTCCTCCTCCTCCTTATCCCCCTCCGCCTTCCCCTTCCCTCTTCTCCTCCTCCTCCACCTCTCCTCCTCCTCCTCCTCCTCCTCCTCTCTCTCCTCCTCGTCCTCTCCTCCTCCTCCTCCTCTCCTCCTCCTCCCTCCTTTTCCTTCCTCCTTCCTTCCTCCTTCCTCCTCCTCCTCCTCCTCCTCCTCCTCCTCCTCCTCCTCCAGTCTTCCTCCGGCTCCAGAAAAGCCATGCACACGTCGCCCCGGGGGCCGCGGCCGGCCCCGGGCCGGGGCCGGCGCAGGAAAGCAGAGGCGACGCCCTCCCGGCTGTGGACGCAGGGGTCGTCGATCTCCGCGACGCCCATCTTGACCTTTGGACGCCCGAAATGGGTACGGAAAGAGTGGGTACAATGCCCAACAACAAATGCTGTCACGTTGTCCCAAACCAACAGCAGCCGCTGTTGGGCAGGCGGCCTTCTGTCTCGAATGGACACAGGCCGCGGCGGCGCGGACAGCGAGCCCTGTTCAAAATGGACAGGAACTACTGTTGGGCATTGTACCCATTCTTTCCGTACCCATGTCGGTCGTCCCGATGACCGCATTCTCCCGGGTGATCTCCGGGGGCCGGCCCTCGGCGTCCAGCGCGCCTATGGACGCCGCGAAGAGCCGCGCCTCGCGGAGCACCTCGAGCTTGCTGAGGCCCTCCCAGTTGCGCATGACGTGGTTGATCCTCGAGTAGTAGGCCTGGTGCGTTCGTTTTGGTGGAAGCCGTACGGTGGGCTCCTGCGGCGCCAGCGCGCACAACAATTGTTGGCACCGCCACGATCTTTCCACCTTGAGCCGATCGTTCAAGGTTGAATTGCGTCGGGTCCAAGGGCGTCGTTGTGCCCCCAAGTGCTTCCGCGTCGCAGAATTCAACCTTGAACAACTTCGCTGGCGTTGCTGGCGCGCGATCGCCGCATGAAACCAACGGTACCTTAGTCAAGGTGTTGGCGGATCAGCGGCAAATGACGGCAAATAGCTGCACAGAACGGCAAACAGCGGCAACCCGTGAGCTGCAAACAGCGTCAGGCGCCCCGCGCTAACCATCTACCTAGCACCCTTTACTCGCCGCCAGTGGCCGCTAAATCTAAAACAATAACTTTCGATGACGTTCAAGGCTTCCATTAAAACAACCACATGAGGCCTGGGCCTTCACGTTCTTCGCAATGTCAGCCGACGCGAAGTCCGCAGCCCCCAAGGCCTCACACTGGAGCGACGCCTCGGTCAGCGGCAAGTCACTCAGGGACTCCAGGAACGGCCGCTCGAACTCGTGGAGGAACAAGACTCCCCGGCCGGCTTTCCCGCCACGGCCCGTGCGGCCGAGGCGGTGGATGTACTCGGCCCGTGTATGGGTCGGCCACTCCGAAGGGTGTGGTGTGCAAAGGGTGTGGCTTGCAACCTGCACCCTGGGGGGCAGCCCGAGGGGCGGGCGAGGACCTCGACGGATCTTTCTGCCACGCCCCGGGGAGGCCCGACGAGAACGGGATCGTGCTCCGCAGGCCCCAGAGGGTGCCGATCGCGAACCACACCCCGGCGTAGCCATACCCTTCGTGGTCGCCGAATGGGGCGCGCCCATCTGGATAACGTCCGTGACGCCGGGGTAGTCCAAGCCTCTGGATGACACGTCTGAAGTGAACAGAATGCCGCTGACTGCGTCCCTGAACTGGTTGGAAGCCTCTGTTCTGGTCTCCTGCTTCTTTATCTGAGCGTGGATCTCGAAGACAGCCAACTCGGACCCCGACTTTCGGAATGCCTCGGCGTAGTACGCGGCGATACGCCCAGTCATGAAAATTGCCACCAACTTCGCCGAGGCGGCCTCCCGCCTCCTCGCCTCTTCGATCGCTCTGCAGAGCATTCTGGTCATGTCCTCGGTGGCGACGACGCAGTAGGTCTGCTCGATCAAGCTTGGCACCACAGCATCGCAGCCCTTGAGCATGTCTATGTACTCGTACTCGGCGCTCCCGGTACGCTTCATCAGCTCGGTCACTTCGTCGGATATAGTGGCGGAGAAGAAAAGGCTCTGCCGGGACACCGCCGCAGGCAGGGCCGAGACGATACCCTCCGTGGCTGGTCTGAATATTTCGCTGGTGAGGTAGTCCACCTCATCCAGCACCAAAATCTGCACCTCCGCCAAGCTCGCGGCGAACCCCTCCGTCTTGCCAATGTGCGTCTGCAGGCGGCCCGGCGTCGCCACCAGCAGCACGCTCGCAGCGCCGGCCGCATCCAGCGCCTCCTTGTCCTCCTTCCAATCCAGCCCGCCCACCTAGAGATCCGCCGTCTAGAATTGTTCAAGACGGGCGCCCCACCCCCCGAGACCGGCGTTTCATCCCGAGCCTTCGGTCGGGCATGTCCCCCTACAGGTGGATTTTGGACGAACAATAAAAAGAATACACCCCAAACAGATCAAAAACTAACAGGAGAAGTCAAACAATCGTCTCCACACTTGATTTTAACTATTTTTGAATATCCCTCCTGCACGGAGACGTGCCCGACTCAGCCCGAGTCGTTTTGTGAACCGGCACCGAGGCCCGGCGAGGGCCCCGCAAATTACATTGGAAAAACGCCGTACGGATTCTTGTCCAGCACGTTTGTCGGGCCGGGCGAAAAGGGGGGATAGCAAAGGGGGGGGGGGGAGAATCAGCTCACGTAACTGATTTTCCCGGCGCCCTCTGGCGCCGGAGGCGGCTATGTATCGAGGAATGGGCCCCTCGGTGGGGCCGAAACCAGCTGCATGCAGCAGATTTCGGAACCCCCCCTTTCCCTATCCCCCCCTTTCGTTCGGCCCGAGTTTGAGCTCTGGGCGCCATGCACACCGCCCTCATCCCGGGGTAGAAGGACAGCAGCCTCAGGGAGACCCGCAAACACCGAGATGCCGCTGCCCCCTTGGGCCTCTCCAGGGGGTGCCTTCGGACCAGCATCTCGAGGCGCATCCAGCCGCGGAAGCGAGGGCTTCCCAGCAGGGCTCGAGTTGAACAGTGTTTTCCGTTTTCGTTGTGCTTTCGTCATCCCTAGTTCTGTCTTCGTTCCACGTTTGCTGCAAAACGAAGTCAAAACGACAACGGTTCACGAAATTGCCAAAACACCGTTTAGCTCGAGCCCTGCTTCTCAGGAGGCCCCAAAGAAAGCGAGACCCAGGCAACGGCATCGGGATCGGTACCGTCCCAATCATGTCCTGTTTTTGTTCCTTACGCGGTCCTCGGAAATCCCGACCCATTCCCCGCAGCCGGCTTGTCATGCTGGGTCGTTTTCTGACGGGCCCAGGGCCCCGCGAGGGCCCTGAGGGGCAGAACGCAACGAACACGCAAACATGCCTGGGTTTGGCGGCGAGCCCGGGGGAAGAGTGAGAGGGGCAGACCAAATTACTCAAAAGGCGGCGTGGTTGATCACAAGCTCTCACGCCAACTACCCTGGCGACGTACCCAACCCTTGCGCAATGCGGGGCATAAGTACATCAGGATTGCTACAACAAGGGCGATGACGGAACATGGACGCCTGTCATTTTGCAAGCAGCAATCGGAAGGCTCACAGGCCCCCGATCAAGATGTAAAGGCGTCGTAGTGGTTCCTGACGCAGCCCCCCCCAGAGACGGCGAGGTCTCGCTCAAGTCTTCGCGGTGCCTCACTCCGCTGGACCCAATAGCAGCCCTCGAAAGTGGCGACAGAGTCGCAGATCGCAGCACCCCCAGGGACGGCGAGGTCTACTTCAGATCCCCGCGGTGCTTCACTCCGCTGGACCCACCAGCAGCCCTCGAAAGTGGCGACAGTGTCGCAGATCGCAGCCCCCCAGGGACGGCGAGGTCTCGCTCAGATCCCCGCGGTGCCTCACTCCGCTGGACCCCCAGCCCTCGGTGCCTCACTCCGCTGGACCCACTAGCAGCCCTCGAAAGTTCGCAGATCGCAGCCCCCCAGTGACGGCGAGGTCTACCTCAGATCCCCGCGGTGCTTCACTCCGCTGGACCCAATAGCAGCCCTCGAAAGTGGCGACAGCTTCGCAGATCGCAGCCCCCCAGGGACGGCGAGGTCTCCCTCAGATCCCCGCGGTGCCTCAGTCCGCAGGACCCATCAGCAGCCCTCGAAAGTGGCGACAGCTTCGCAGATCGCAGCCCCCCCAGGGACGGCGAGGTCTACCTCAGATCCCCGCGGTGCCCCAGTCCGCTGGACCCACCAGCAGCCCTCGAAAGTGGCGACAGCGTCGCAGATCGCAGCCCCCAGGGAAGGCGAGGTCTACCTCTGACCCCCGCGGTGCCTTACTCCACTGGACCCACCAGCAGCCCTCGAAAGTGGCGTCAGTTTCGCAGATCGCAGCCCCCCCAGGGAGGCGAAGTCTCGCTAAGCATCCCCCAAAGATCCCCCCGCCCAGTCCGCAGGACCACCAGCAGCCCTCGAAAGTGGCGTCAGTTTCGCAGATCGCAGCCCCCCCAGGGACGGCGAAGTCTCGCTAAGATCCCCCCAGTGCCCCAGTCCGCAGGACCCCCCAGCAGCCCTCGAAAGTGGCGACAGTTTCGCAGATCGCAGCCCCCCAGGGACGGCGAGGTCTACCTCAGATCCCCGCGGTGCTTCACTCCGCTGGACCCAATAGCAGCCCTCGAAAGTGGCGACAGTGTCGCAGATCGCAGCCCCCCAGGGACGGCGAGGTCGACCTCAGATCCCCGCGGTGCCTCACTCCGCTGGACCCACCAGCAGCCCTCGAAAGTGGCGACAGTTTCGCAGATCGCAGCCCAGCCCCCATCGTCGGCGAAGAGAGGGCAGGAGGAGACGGGAGGCCGGAAGAGGAGGAGGAGGGACGCGACCACAATGCTCTATTCAAAACGAATACCCAGCCAAGGAGGGTTGGGAAAACTTCTCGGAAGGCCCGAGGACTTCCGAGCCTTCTGCGAAGGCTCGCCCCATCTCGGACGCCAGGTCGCTTTCGGGCCCTTACTCGGCTCTCTGGACGAACACGTCCAAAAACCTCGATCCTCGGACCTCCCCCTCTGGGCTCGCCACCGATAGGTTTAGGCTGGGCAGGTCCTCCGACAGGCGGTTTCCCAACGAAAAATCAAATATTCAAAACCTGTTCAACAAAATGCGCAAGAATACAACAAAAGTCCCCAGACTAATTTTTGACTCTTTCTGGAAATTCCTCCCGTAGAGGGACAGGCCCGACTAGACGATAGGTTCGCGCATCCGCAACCTCTCGGCCTCGGCGAAGATCTGCATCGAGAGCTCCCGCACGGGGCTCACCGCCAGCAGCCGGATGCCCCCCCGGCCCGGCCCGAGGCCGAGCAGGCGCTCTACCGCGGGCAGCAGGAAACTCAGGGTCTTCCCCGCGCCCGTCCGCTCGGGGAACAAAAAACCGCAGGAAGGTGAGCTTTCTTCTGGGATCGGCGCGGGGGGTGCTAAGGTAGGAGAGGAACAAGCGCCATAAACATTTTGGCGTTCCGCGCGGATTTCTTGGATCCGCGCTGGGCCCCGTTTTCTCCTTCGGAAAGGGAAACGGGTGGTTATCAGTAGATGCCGGGGTGGGTCAGATTTGGCCTGACCTAGCCGATGAGTGGAATACGCATGCCCACGTGGGCCAGAGGGGGTCACAATCTGGGCGAAGTGGACTGCGCCCACTTAGCGATAGTATCTAACCCCCAATAAGGCACTTGGAGCATTAGTAACTCACTTCTGGGCTAAGTTAGGCCAGATAGAACCAACCCTGGCGTCCACTGGTAACCCCGCTATCCTCTCAGCCCCCCCCGAGCCGATCCCAGTTGGAGGCACGGAAACGGGCACCGACATACAAGACAGGGGGCTGCCTCCACAGGCAGAAAATGACCCTCGACTTGGGTGCTGGTGGCTGTCTGTCGGTCACCCAGGAAGCCCCGAATATCACCAGCACTACAGCCACCGAGACCTGGATCATCTTCCCTCGGTGGAGGCGCACCAGCTATCTTCTTTTGTGTTCCTTCCCGGGCAGCGGTCGTTACTGGGGGGGGGGTCGGGCGGGAGAATAACGGTAATTAGCGGCGGCAGCGGCGCGCACCCGCCAGGCCAGGGTGCGTCCCCGCGCCACCGGCGCATCAGTCGCACGTGTGCACCACAGCATGTACGGGGGTGGTCCAGGCCCCCCGCGATCGGCAGCGTTACCCAGGGGGTTTGGCCTGGGTGGCGAGCGTTACCCCGTTACCCCAGGGAGGGCCACAAACGCCCACCCGCCGACATCCCAGAGATCCGACGCAACGATGTGTTCAGTGCGGGGCCCCCGAACCTCTCGACACATTCGCCATGCAGGACCGGTGTTGTTATCCCGGGTCGTGTTGTTGACAGTCCCGAGGCGCGGCGAGGGCCCCCAGAGAGGCCGAAGACTGTCCTGAGTTTTCCAGCACGCTGGATCTCAGGGATTGTTCCTGGTTCGGCGGTGGACAAACCTTCCTTGAGTAAACCTCCACTTAGTGACAGCGGCCTGGGACCCAAACCGACGGACCTGGACCCGCAGAAAACGACGGCCGTGACGCCCTCTCGCGAACCGAAAACGGCCATTCCTTAATCGACGTGTCAAGGCAGGAGGTCTATCAACCTCCGACTGGTGACGACCTCTATGCTTAAGTCGGGCCTGTCCCCCTACAGGGGGATTTCCGACGAAAAATAGAAAATACCCTACAAATATTCAAAAATAGTCCAAACATAATCTGGGGACTATTGTTTGAATACCTTTTGGCCATTTTGGGGGCATTTTTGGAGTAGTAATTCTTCGTCGAAAATCCCCCCCCCCTGTGAGGGGACACGCCCGACTTGAAGGTAGGAGGTCCATCAACCTCCGACTGGTGACGACCCCTATGCACCCGACTCTTCCCGCGCCCCGCGCGTGGATCTCTCGGGTCGGCGCTGGGCGCCCCGCGCCGCTCCCCCCCCCCGCCGCTGGCGCGCAGAGCGCGCCCGGCCTCCGCGGCCTCTCGCAGGCGGGGGGCCCCCTGGGCCGCGCCCCCGCCAGGATGCATATGGGGGCCACGTGTGGACCCTACCCCCTACCCCCCACGATGTTTGAGGGGAGGGTGGCGGGGAGCCCCCGAGCGAAGTGAAGCCCGCCCTGCCTTCAAAAGTCGCGGGGGGTAGGGCAGCAGGGCCCACACGTGGCCCCCTGAGGGAGCGCTCTGCCCGCGGAGGCCCCGCGTGGACCACGAAGCCGTCGGTCGGAAGACGCAGGCGGAAGCAGGGACTGACAGGAGGGCGTTGACGATTAGCTCGGGAGCGCCCCCCGCCCCCCCGCAAGAGGACGGCAGAGGTGCAGCCGCTCGATCACTGAAGCGGGAAGGCGCTCACCTTCCGACGACCGACGGGGCGCTGAACTCCTGACGGCCGATGGGTAGCAACGAGACCGCGCATCCGCTGGATCGCGCCCCGGAATCCAGACCGCAGGGGCGCGGACACGGATCTGCATTCGCCGCGCGCGACCTGCCAGGAAGGGGGGGTCCGACGCCGATCCGAGCTATGTCTGGCGCGAAGCTCCGCAGGCCTCTGCTCATGCCAGTTGTTTGTTCCTCGGTCTTCGCCCTCACGATCACGTCCTTCCCCGCCGCGATCGGGCCGAAGGCGCACGCCTGCACCTCAGCCAGGGCCAAGGCAGGGACGACATCGGACCAGGAAGTACCTCAGATCGTTCCGGAGCGGTCGCTCTGAGAGCGTTTTGAAGAACGCTCTGGAACGATGAATCCCCGCCAGACTGGGATGACCGCGGGGGTGACTCAGGGGATCGGGAGGTTACAGATGCTCAGATGAATTGTATATACCATGAACAAAAGTTAGAAGTGGACTCCACGTGCCCTGCGTGGCTAAGCCCTCCACGTGGGTGCAGCCCACTTGGCCCAGATCCCGAGCCACTCAGGGCACGCCCAACCCAAGTACCTCAGCCACTCAGGGCACGCCCAACCCAAGTACCTCATGGACAATGCTAGGCCATGCCTGAGCAACCTCAGCATCCACGCAAATCAACCCCACCGTCCCCCTAGCAACCCCCCTGCGGTCATCCCAGCAGGGCGGGCATGAATCGCTTCGGAGCGGCAGAGCGTCCCGGAACGCTCTCGGAACGAGCGTTCCAGAACTTGCTCTGCGTCGGGCATTCGTACCCGCAACCCCGCCCAGCCCGAGCCCCGGCGTCCGGCATTCGCCCCAGAAGCTCCGCCCCGCCCGAGCACCGGCGACTGGCATTGCTCGTATACCCGAGAACCCCCCGCCCCGCCCGAGCACCGGCGACTGGAGAGTTGCTCCTGCCCGAGAAGCCCCCGCCCCGCCCGAGCACCGGCGTCTGGTACTCGTACCCGAAGCCGTCGCGCATGTAGAAGAAGAAACAACACCGCGAACATAAACTTTTGCTGCTCCGTGCGGACTTCTCCTGGATCTGCGCTGGACCCCCCGCCCCTGGCGCGCGGAGGGGGAGGGGGGCCCAGCGCGCATCCGAGAAATCCGCGCGGAGGCGGAGGCTGAGGCTGAGGCGGAGGCGGAGGCAGAGGCGGAGGCGGAGGCGGAGGAGGAGGAGGAGGAGGAGGAGGAGGAGGAGGAGGAGGAGGAGGAGGAGGAGGGAGGAGGAGGTAAGGAGCAGGAGGAGGAGGAGAGGAGGAGGAGGAGTAGGAGGAGGAGGAGGAGGAGGTAGGAGGAGGAGGAGGAGGGGAGAGGAGGGGAGGACTAGGAAAAAGGAGGCGGAGACAGAGAGGAGGAGGCGGTGGAGGAGGTAGGAAGAGGGAGGAGGAGGAGGAGGAGGAGGAGGAGAGAGGAGGCAAGACAAAAACAGTGTGCGTGTGTTCCTGGCGCTCTTCCTCCTTCGCGCATGGCCCGCTTGCCCTCCGCGGAGATGGCCAGGTCGCCGAAGCGGCCCGGCGCCGCCTCGCCCGGCGCGGCCGCCCCGGGCTCCGCCATCGTGGGCCGTGTGAGCGGCGGCGCGCGGCCGCGCGCGGCGGGCCCGCGCGGGGGAGGCGCTCTCTGCCCGTGGCTCCGTATCCCGCCCCCCTCCCTCCACCGTCGACGGAGGAGGGAGGCGGAGATCTCCCTCCTCCCTCCCTCCCTCCCTCCCTCCCGTCTCCCTCCCTCTCCCTCCCTCGGGGCTCCCTCCCCCTCTCCTGTCTGCCCCCCGCCCCTCCCGCCGGGGAGGCTCCCTCCATGACCCCTCCCTCTCCCGCTCCCTGTCCCGCATCCCTCCCTCTCTCTCTATCTCGCTCCCTCCGTCTGCTCTGCTCTCCGTGATGTCACCGTTCCCTCTCTCTCTCTCTTTGTCTCTCGCTCTCGCTATCGCTCTCTCGTTCTGTCTAGTATTAATTATCTCGTCTCTTAGTTGGCTCTGAATGATAGCTTATGGTTTCTTTCTCTCTCTCTCTCTCTCTCTCTCTCTCTCTCTCTCTACTCTCTACCCGCACTCTCTGTCACTACTCTCCCTCTCGATGTGTATGTGTCATGTGTTGTCTCTCTCTCTCTCTCTCTCTTCATACGAAATGTATGTATGTATACTGAATGCTTTAGTGAGGGGGTCTCCTACAGCGACCATTAGCAGGCCATGGCTGTTAACTTCTTGGCCCGCGAAATTAAAACACAAAAAACGAATTTGACAGACGAAACGCCTTGAAATTTTCCAAATTCCGCTGAGCACTGATTTTTGCACGGCCTGTTTTGCCATCGGCTGCTTTGCAATATTCAGAATCTCACGGGGCATTGATTTTTGCCAGGCATGTTTTGCCATGGGGCGATGTGTCATCGATTCAAAAGCGGGGAACCCCAGGCGATGCTCATTGGAACAACGCCCAAAGGGTTTCCGAAACAAGCAGCGCACATGTTGGATTTGGCGCGCTGCGTACGCGAGTGAGAAAGCAGCCGCTTCTCTAGGGCAGCGCGCGCCTTGAGGGGACGCAAGCTTCAACGTGCGAGCGCGTCCACCGCGCAAGCGCAAACGCTACGAGCGACGGGAAAAACCGCCCGCTGCACGGCGATGCGCACACCTGTCGCGACATCACTCGAGAGCGTCGCAATCACATTTGTTTCCGTCCAACTTTGAAGACGGCGCTGCGTAACCAAAGCGCGCGCGGGCGCGCCAAAATCGAAGCAAACACGCACGCGCACACGCACGCACACACACACACACACACACACACACACACACACACACACACACACACACACACACACACACGCGCACGCACACACACACACGCACGTGCACGTAGCGAGCTAAACTTTTGAGTCGCGACGGGTACAAGCTAGACCAGGGCGCGGCTAACATAATTGACGGCAGCGCAAACATCTCTCTCTCTCTCTCTCTCTCTCTCTCTCTCTCTCTTTCTATATATATATATATACAATATCATCTGTAAATGGAAACAAAAAAACGGATCGCGGTATATTGCCCAGCAGCCAGCCCGGAAACGCACCCGAACGGGCTCCGCGCCCCACGGGTGCCACAAGGAGAATTGTCGAATGCCGACGCGCACTTCCGCGCCGCGAAAGGGCCCCCATGCCGCTGGAGCTTCCGCCACCGCCCCCCCTTTCCCGTAGTGCAAGGTTTCATCGTCTCAAACGCGCGGGTCCGCAAGCGATGTTGCTTTCTGGAGCGCCAGACGGCTTCCCCACAATATCCGCGCGCATGTTGGGCTTGGAGCTTAACGTGCAGGACATGAGAAACGTACTGATTATACAAAGCAGCGCGCGGCCTGGAGAAGCGCGAACTTAACCGCCGCGCAAGCGGGGGGAGCATTGGCCGAAGAACGGCCGTGACCCGGCCTCCGTCGGCCTCCTCAAAAGGCTCCAGAAAAATTCATTTTCAGTTGCGGCACTTATATGTCGACTTCTATATTCTGGAAAATGCTGAATTATCCCGCGCGCGCAAGCGCCGGTGACCAGGCCTCCGTCGGCCTCCTTAAAGGGCTCCAGAAAAAATCAGATTTAGTTTCGGGAATAACATGTTGACTTTTATATTCTGAGCAATGCAGAACTCTCCAGCGCGCGCAAGCGCAGGTGACCCGGCCTCCGTCGGCCTCCTTCAGGGGCTCCAGAAAAAATCAGATTTAGTTTCGGGAATAACATGTCGACTTTTATATTGGGAACAATGCGGAACTCCCCACGCGCGCGCGCGGGTGACCCGGCCTCCGTCGGCCTCCTCAACTGGCTCCAGAACAGAACAAAACAAAAAAACATGTTCAAACGCGGCACTTACATGTCGACTTGTATATTCTGGGAGCGCCGGTGACCCAGCCTCCGTCGGCCTCCTGAAAAGGCTCCAGAAAAATTCAGATTTAGTTTCGGGGATAACAGGTCGACTTCTATATTCTGGACAATGCAGAATTCTCCAGCGCGCGCAAGCGCAGGTGACCCGGCCTCCGTCGGCCTCCTTAGAGGGCTCCAGAAAAAATCAGATTTAGTTTCGGGAATAACATGTCGATTTTTATATTGTAGACTATGCAGAACTCCCCACGCGCGCGCGCGGGTGACCCGGCCTCCGTCGGCCTCCTTAAACGGCTCTTCAACCAGCCAACCTGCCTACCAGCCGGCGCACCAGCCAACCAACACACTGGACTTAACCAACCAACCGGCGCACGCGGAGCCTCACATGTACAAACTTGTAGATAGGCGAGGATTATCGCGCCCCGCGATGCGCGACGCGCGGTGAACTTCACGCCCCTGCGCCGCCGCCCTGGACAAGGGCGGCTCTCCTGCCCGGGCCGCGACGCGCGAGGCGCAATAATCTTCGCGCCCCCAGGGGTGACCAAGTGCAAAGGCCTTGGGCGGCCACGTGTTTCAGAAATATGAAAACCCACGGATGCAAAGCACAAAATGAGTATGCAGGCGTACAGTGAAGGTCTTGACCTAAGGTGCGACATAAGGAACTAATGCCCCCACCTCGGCATGCGCATACATGCAGGGGCGACAGCGGGGGGGCCCGAGGTTGGAGCTGGACCATAACGCAACCACCGTTCAATTATGTCGAGCCACTGAGCTCCGAACCGCGTGGCCGAAGGAACGGGGGGGGCTCTTGCGAGGAACTGGACCTCAATGCCCCATACCTTGGCATGCGGATACATGCAGGGGCGACAGCTCCAGCGCGCGCCCCGCAAGGAACGGGGGGGCCTGAGAACGGAGCTGGACCATAACGCAGCCACCGTTCAATTATGTCGAGCCAGTGAGCTCCGAACCGCGTGGCCGAAGGAACGGGGGGGGGCCCTTGCGAGGAACTGGACCTCAATGCCCCGCGCCCTGGCGCGCGGAACGGGCGAAAGCTCCAGCGCGCGCCCCGCAAAGAACGGGAAGGCCCCGGAGAGGCGCAGGGCTTATACGCGACCGCCGTCGCATTACGTCGAGCAAGCGCAAGGAACCGAGCCCCCCCGTGGAGCCCCGTTCCATAGACCGTCCGCCCCGATCGACAAAACGAACCCGCGCGTCCAAAATCGCAAGGAACACCGGGGGGGCTCGCCGCCAAAAAGGCAGCGGAACGCATGCAAACCTAAGGAACGTCCGAGCCCCTTTTGAAAAGTAAGTGTTCCTTACTCAAGGCGCTCACTGTGCGCGCCTCCGTCGGCCTCCAGAAAGCTTCACAGAAAAGTTCAACTTCAGTTTTTGGATTTACAAGGCGATCTTCTTATTGTGGGCAATCCAGAACTTCCTACACGCGCCCGCGCCGCGGCGCGCGCGCGTGGTGAGTTCTGTATTGTCCACAATAAGAAGATCGCCCTGTAAATCCAAAAAATGAATTGGACTTTTCTGTGAAGCTGTAAGGAGGCCGAGGGGAGCGCGTAGTTCTGTATGTGGACACTACAGAACTCACCACGCGCGCGCGTAGGGAGTTCTGTATTGCCCACAATGCTATGCAGAACTGCGCGCCTCCGTCGGCCCCCTTACTACTTCACAGGCAAAAATAAATTCAGTCTTTGGCTTTACAAAACGATCTGCTTATGGGGGGCAATCCAAAACTCACCACGCGCGCGCGCGGGGAAACCAAATGCACAATGGACACATGCGTTGGAAACGCAGCGCGCGCCGCAAAGTCGCGCGCGCGTTGGACAATGAGCGGGGAACCATATTGCGCAGCTCAAGGTCGCGCGCGCGCGCGCGCCCTTGCGCTGCGCACTGTGGTCTTCTACGCATGTGTCAACGATGTCAGCGTGAAAATCAATAGGGGAAACCCTGAGCAAAATTTAATTCTCTGAATCCAGGAGATGGCCACGCGATTAGCAAATGCGTGGGAAACCACAGTGCGCAGCGCAAGGTCGCGCGCGCGCGACCTTGCGCTGCGCACTATGGCTTCCCACGCATGCGAACTCGAAGTCCAAATCGGGAATGCGTCATGTAAACATTATTTCTCTGGCCCCAACAGATGGCCATGCAGTTGATAATTGCGTGGGAAAGCCAGCGCGCAGCGCAAGGTCGCGCGCGCGACGTTTCGGTGCGCACAACGGTTTCGTCCCATAAATTTGTGAACGATGTGAACGCGAAAACCAAACGATGCGCAATTTAATACTCGTCCCAACAGGTGACCATACAAGTGGAAACCATAGTGCGCAGCGCAAAATCGCGCGCGCTGCGCACTTTGGTTCCCGCGCGTTTGTCGTCGGTGTGAACGCGAAAACCCTAAGGGAAAACCCAATTTGAAATGTAGTTCTCTGGCCAGACACTTAACAAATGCGCGGCGCCCAATGGTTTTCCACGAACTGTTAGGTGCATGGCCATCAGCGCGCCATGGCTTCCCTGCGCCGGCTGCCGCGGCTTGCTGTTTCCAGCGGACGACCAATAGTGGGCCATGGGTGCAAACGCGAGGAGGATTTCGCCCAAACGGCTAATCACGGGAAAAGAATCCACGGGGGGCGGGCCAGGGGCATCGGGGCCATGTTTTCGCTCCAAGGAAATCGGGGGGGCGGGGGGGGGGGACCTCCTGCGGTTAACCCGCGACATTCCCGGCTGCGGGGCCCGCCGCGTGCGCAAAATTTCCATCCGGGCCACTGCCCGATCTCGCGCAATTACCGGCCGGGTTCGCTGAATTCCCAGCCAGGTTACCAACCAAAATCGCAGAATTACCGGCCGGGTGCGCGGAGTTACCAGCCGGGCGCGCGGGAATTGACAGCCGGGCTACCGGCCGGGCGCGCGGAGTTACAGCCGGGCTGCCGGCCAGGCAAAGGGCCGGCCGTCTGCGGCGTTCTGTACCCTGACCTTCCAGGAGGGCTAAAAAATAGCACCCGACCTAAAAACCTATCCCAGAGCTATTCTACGTCTTGGTTTTAGGCTGTTTCGTTTAGATTTTTAGGTTTTTAGGACTCCAGTGCTAAAAAATAGCTCTCTGGAAGGTCAGGGTAGCGGCGCTGTAGCTCCGCTACAGAATGCGCTGCAAGGCCAAGCTAAGGGCCGGGCTACCAGCCGGGCTACCGGCCGGGTTACCGGCCGGGCTGGGAATTAACAGCCGGGTCACCAGCCGGGTTACCAGCCGGGCTGGGGCTAACAGCCGGGTTACCGGCCGGGCGCGCAGTTAACAGCCGGGCTACCAGCCGGGTTACCAGCCGGGCCGGGTCACCGGCCGGGTTCGTAGAATTACCGGCAGGGTTACCGGCCGGGTTCGTGGAGTTACCGGCAGGGTTGCCCGCCGCGTTCGTGGGCTTACTGGCCGGGCTACCGGCCGGTCACCAGCCGAGCTATTGGTGGGCGAGGGGCCAGCCCGCTGGGTACCGGTCAGGGTGGGCAGGGCTGCTTGCCGGGCCAGGCCCCAGGCCGGGGGCGACCGGGCTGCGCTGAACACGGGCCCAACATGGCCTCGGCGCTGTCCCCTCGCGCATAATATGGTGTCCCGCCTTAACGCGCGGCGGCATTGCCCCTTGCAGCCGTATGTTCGCCTACCTACGTAGTGGCCCATGGCCACAGTGCGTGTGGCTGCATTTCCGCGCTCGCATATTGTGTTTAGTTCCCACGCAGAGGACCGCGGCCGCCGCGCGCCGAATGCACAGCTCGCGCCCGCGCGCGCGCGTAGTACGCTGAGCCACTTGGCCGACGTGCTACAACCTCATGTTAACTTGGAAATCCATTCGGCCACCGCTGAAGGGGCCGCTTGAGTTTCCAAGCAAACATAGCGGCCCGTCTATTGTGGGCACAACAGAATTCACAGCTCGCGCCCGCGCGCGCGTGGGCGCGTTGCGCGCTCAGCCACATGGTCGACATGCTCCAACCACATGTTAACTTGGAGATGCAGTCGGTCACCTCTCAGGGCCACCTTCGTTCACAGGCCAACAAGGCGGCCCTTCTTTTCTGGGTAACCCAAGATTCACGACTCGCGCTCGCGCGGTCGCGGGCGCGCGCGCGCGGTGGCGCTTGGTAAATCGAGCCACGTAACCGACACGCTACAAACTCATGCTAACTTCGAAATCCAATCGGTCACCGCTAAGGGGCCATTTGAGTTTCCAGGCCACAACATGGCGGCCCTTTCTAATGTGTAGTCCAGAAGTCACATCTCGCGCGCGCGGGCGCGTTGTACGCTAAGCCACGTGACCGACATGCTACAAGCCCATGTTAACTCGGAATACAATCAATCACCGTGAATTGGCAAATTCGATTTTCCATGCCAGCATGGTGGCCGTTGTACGGTGGAAAAATACACAGTTGACGGCTAGCGCGCGCGTGGGCGACGTGTACGCTGAGCCACCTGGTCGATACGCGACAACCCCCATGTTAACTCGGAAGTTCAATCGGTTACTGCGGAGGGGCCACTTGTGCTTCCATGCCAACATAAAGGACCCGATATTGCGGGTAGTACGGCTTTCAGAGCTCGCACGCGCCGGGGGGGGGGCGCGCGCGCGCGGGCGCTATGTGCGTTCAGCCATTTGCTACAAGCCCATGTGAACTCGGAATTCCAATCCGTTACCGCTCAGGGGCCACATGAGTTTCCAGGAGACAGCGGCCCTTCTATTGTGGTTAGTACAGGATGCACAGCCCGCGCGCGCGTGCGCGCGTTGTGCGCTGAGCCACTTGGCCGACATGCAACAACCCCATGTTAACTTGGAAATCCATTCGGCCACCGCCATGGGGCCGCTTGAATTGCCAGGCCAGCACGGCGGTCCTCTGTCGTGGATGATACAGAGTTCACAGCTCGCGCCCGCGCGCGCGGGCGCGTTGTACGCTGAGCTACTTGGCCAACATGGCACAACCACATGCTAACTAGGATATCAAATCTTCTACCGCAGCGGGCAACTTTTAGTTTCCAAGCAAACATAGCGGCCCTTCTGGTGTGGATAGTTCGTAAGTCACTGCTCGCGCGCGCGCGCGTGGGCGTCCTTTACGCTGAGCCACTTGTGCAACATGCTACAACCCCATGTTCAATTGAAAATCCAGTCGGCCATCGTTAGAGAGCCACTTGCGTTTCCAAGCCAATACGGCGGCCCTTCTGTTGTGAGCGATGCAGAGGTCACAACTCGCGCCCGCGCGTGCGCGCGGGTGCGTTGTACGCTGAGCAACTTGGCCGACATGCGGCAACCCTAGGTAAACTGGGAAAACCAATCGGCCACCGCTAAGGGGCCACTATGGCTTCCAGGCCAACATGACGGCCACTCTATTGCGTGCAATAAAGAATGTACAGCTTAATCGGCACGCTGCAAACTCATGGTTACTCGGAAATCGAATCAGCCAACGATAGGATTGCACTTCAGTTTCCAGGCAACCGTGGTGGCACTTCTATTATGGGCAACCAAGTGATCCAGAAGTCGCAACTCGCGCGCGCGCGGGTGGGTGCGTTGAGCGCTGGACCACTTGGCCAACGTGCCACAAACCAGTGCTAACCTGGAAATCAATCCGGGGTTCCAAGCCAGCACGGCGGCACTTCTACTTTGGATCAGGGTTCGCAGCTCGCGCCCGCGCGCGCGCGGGCGCGTTGCGCGCTGAGCCACTTTGCTGACATGCTGGAAGCCACCGCAAAGGGGCTACTTGAGTGTGCAGGCCAACATGGCGGCCCTTCTACTGCGGTTAGTACGAAAATTCACAACTCGCGCGCGCGCGGGCGCGCGCGCGAGGCGCCTTATGCGCTGGGCAACTTGGCCGACATGCTACAAACGCATGTTAAACATGGAAAATACCATCGGCCACCGCTAAGGGGCCACTGGAGTGCTCAGGCCAACGTGGCGGCATTTGCATTGCGGAGAATACAGGGTTCACAGCTCGCGCCTGCGCGCACAGGCGCGGGCGCTCTGCACGCTGCGCAACTTAACCGGCATGCTACGACCTTTTGCTAACTTGGAAGTCCGTCGGTTACTGCTAAGGGGCCACTTAAGTTTCTAAGCAAACATGGCGGCCATTCTATTGTTGGTGATGCAGAATTCACAGCTCGCGCGCGCGAGCGCAAGCGGGCGCGCGCGCGCGGGCCCGTTGTACGCTGAACCATTTAACCAAAACGCTACAAACTCGAGCTATCTCGGATATTCAATCGGCCACCGCTGACGGGCCGCTTGATTTCCCAGGCCAGCAAGGCGGCCCTGCTATTGCGGGTAGAACTCACAGCTCGCGCGCGCGCGTGGGCGCGCTGTGCGCTGAGACACTTGGCCGACGTGCTAGCAGCCCCGTTGTACGCTGAACCATTTAACCAAAACGCTACAAACTCGAGCTATCTCGGATATTCAATCGGTCACCGCTAATGGGCCGCTTGATTTCCCAGGCCAGCATGGCGGCCCTGCTATTGCGGGTAGAACTCAAAGCTCGCGCGCGCGCGTGGGCGCGCTGTGCGCTGAGACACTTGGCCGACATGCTAGAAGCCCATGTTAAATTGGAAAAAGAATTAAGCCACCACTAAGGGGCTGCTTGAACTCCCGAGCCACCATGGCGGCCCTTCTGTTCTGGATAACGCAGAGTGGCGGCTCGCTCCCGCGCGCGCGGGCGACTTGTGCGCTGAGCCACTTGGCCGACATGCTACATCCCCATGTCAAATTGACAATCCAGTCGGTCACCGCTGGGGGGCCACTTTAGTTTCCAGGACAGCACGACTGCCCTTCTTTTGTGGATAACACAGAATTCACAGCTCGCGCCCGCGCGCGCGCGTGGGCGCGTTGCGCGCTGAGCCACTTCACCGACGCGCCACAAACCCATGGTAAATCGGAAATCCAATCGGTCTCCGCTAGGGGACCACTTGAGCGCCCATGCCAACATTGCGGCACTTCTATTATAAATGATACAGAATTCACAGCTCGCGCCGGCGCGCGCGCGCGGGCGCGTTGCGCGCTGAGCCACTTGGCTGGCGCGCTGCAGCCCCGCGCTACCTGGAACACCCATTCGGTCACCGCCCAACAACCCCTTCGTTTCCAGGCCCCTTCGTTGCCAGACCGCTGAGAACGATGCAGACATCACACCTCGCGCGCACGCGCGCGTGCGCGTTGTACGCTCGTCCTCCTCCTCCTCCTCCTCCTCCTCCTCCTCTTCGCCCAATCCTCCTCCTCCACTTCCTCCTCCTTTCCTCCTCCCCCTCCTCATCCCCCTCCTCCTTCTCCTCCTCCTCCCCCTCTTCCTCCTCCTCCCCCCCAAAGCTTGCGCAGTCAATGTCATCATACTTCTGCTCGCCCTTTTCCTGCTACTCCCGTCGCTCCCCCCTTCTTCCTTTTAGTCCTCGTCCTCCTCGTGTTCCTCCCCCGCCTCCCCCTCCCCCGCCTCCTCATCATTCTTCTGCGCCCTGCCTGTTTCGGCAAGGGCCGCGAATGTGCATTCGCACCCGGGCGTGCCCAGGCTGACCCACGAAATTCAGTTTGACGGCTTCCCCATCAATTTCTCTTCGTTACACGGAATGTTCCCGCACTTCCCTGATCAAGACATTTCGCCTGGGTGCTATTGCTGGGTGGACCGCGATGGATACGAACAGTAACGAAACCAACTACGCGATCAACCGCGAATGAAACTACACACGGAACTCCCCACAAACATGTTTCGCACGTGGCGTTCATCGTGCAACAACGCTCCCAGAAGGGCGAAAGAGGCGAAGCCTTCCCACAATAAAATCACGATTTCTGAATTCAAGCACACACAGCCCTTCAGGGCAAAAACAACAACAAACCATAATTCTGGATTTTCCAAACCATGCCTTCGGACAAAAATGTAATTTTGAATATTACATTTTAGTTGTGCTCCCCGGCCTGGCTGTTAGCGTTTTTGGGTGGCCCCCCCTTCCTGTAGACGGCCCCCTCACTAAGACATGCACTGCCACCACGCATCGTCCCCGACCCCCCCCCACCCGACAGCGCAGAGCAAGCCTTGCCGAGGATGTGTGCAACAGGATGGAGGGGCAGAGCGAAAGCGGAAGAGGACGCGGGCCTGGAAGAGAGACAAGGGCGTTGTGAGCTAGAGCCCCATGGCCCAATCGGCCATTTATGTAACCCAGACAACGGCAGCCAGGAGGGGGAGGGGAGGGAGTGAAAGAGAGAGAGAGAGAGAGACAGCCATTTGAACGCCCGAAATGGGTACGGAAAGAATGGGTACAATGCCCAACAACAAATGTTGTCCGAAACTAACAGCGGCCGCTGTTGGGCAGACGGCCTTCTGTCTCGAATGGAACACAGGCCGCGGCGGCGTGGACAGCGAGTCCTGTTCAAAATGAACAGGAGCTGCTGGTTGGGCAGTGTACCCATTCTTTCCGTACCCATCTCGGGCGTCCAGAAGCCAGAAGAAGGCCCGCAGAGAAGCAAACATCGTGCGTTCGTTACACCACAACCCCCTAGCACTGCCGGATGGGGCACCCGCACAGAATACCCTCACGAGCCCAACGGTCAACTACGAGGCCGCCCACCCAAAGAAGGCGCCGAGCCAAACGGGCGAGCACGAAGCGCCGAGATTGCCAGCACATCGCAGAAGAGCACGGAGAAGGACGAGAAGAAGGGCAAGGGGGAGCAAGCGAAAAATACGAACGGCCTGGCAAATACAGCGAACAGTGTGGAGCCGGACGTGGAGGGTGCAAGCAGCGCCAATGACCCTGAAAAACTAAAGTGTTACATACAATGCGAAGATGTGATCGAAAGGAGGATGGAGCAGAGAGGAAGAAAAGGAGAGGCATGGCAGCAATACCCTATGACTAGCGTAGTGGCGAAGGCCGCACTAGCAGACTTCAGAGGACGAGCCTGGAGGTTTGGCCACGAGGTCCATGTGGGTGGCCCTGCCACCACCCCATAAGACACTACCAATTGACACATACCAGACTGATGCAAAGTGAAGAAAAACAGATGTCCAGGTGCTTGCGAGTGGCCCGAGCACCACCCCATAAGCATCCCAGAACAGCAGCACTTCAAGACAAGGAGACGGCGCAATCGAGGGAAAGGGTGACGGGCTCTACGTCGGACTGGAGTCGGCGCAGGCGTCGTGCTGGCGACGAAGGCGGTGCACGCATCTGAGCGCGAGGTCCGCGAAGGAAACGGGCGTGGCTGTCGCCGACGGCATCGAAGGAGCGCTCCTGCTGCTGGATAACCTGGTGCTACTGTGAAGGGTGCTGATGGTTGTGCTGGTGCTGCGACTCTGGGCCGTGCTGCCAACAGTTGGATTGCTAGTAGCGCTGTTGCTACGCATGGCGCTGCTGGTCCCAGTTGTGGTGGCCACAGTGGCGCTGCTGGGGCATACCATCAGAAACTAATGAGAACCAACCGACCACAAGAGGGAACATCTAACCGCATCTAACCGCTCTCCTCTCCTCCACTCGATAACACAAGTAGTGCTAACGAGCTTACTTCCCAATCTCGTCCTCGCAAAAGGCTGGTCGCTGGATGGTCGCTCTCCTGAAAAGTGTGCTCGCAAACCAGGGCGCCCGTTTGGTTCCTCCCCGTGCCGTCAGAACATGACACTGCTTGTTTGTGCAAGCATGGTTGCAAGTACGTGCGCGAGTTCAGCTGGACGGCGCATAGCTTCTGATCTGTGGCGAGGGAGTGAACGAATGAAGGATGAATGAACACATGAATAAGGTTGAGTCGGGCGTGTCCCCCTACAGGGGGATTTCCGACGCAAAATTAAAGATACAAAAAATACTCCCAGAAGGCCAGAAATATTGGAAAAATAGTCACCAGACTATTTTTTTACTATTTTTGAATGTTCCCCCTGTAGAGGGACAGGCCCGAGGTAAGAATAAGGAGATGGAGAAGATGAAGCAAGAGGAGACGGTTAGAGGCGCAGCAAACTGCAGAAACTGCATGCGCAGCTTTCTTGGATCGGCGCTGGACCCCGTTCCTTGCACGCGGAGCGCGCCAGGGGCGGCGCCGGAGGTGCCGCCAGGGGAACATGGCGCCGACCTCACAAATCCGCCATGTTGTGTTTTTGCCTGTGCTGTTTTTCTTCGGAATGAAGAGATGGAGGAGATGGGGAAGGTGCTCCCCTTCCAGAATGGAGTTGTCCTACTTCGGACCGGGGACAGAGATGAAGGAGAGGCAGGGGATGGAAGGAGGGTACACATGACAGATGCTGCCCCTCCTCCTCCTCCTCCTCCTCCTCCTCCTCCTCCTCCTCCTCCTCCTCCTCCTCCTCTTCCTCTTCCTCTTCCTCCTCCTCCCTCTCATCCTCTTCCGCCTCCTCCTCCGGCTCCTTCTCCTCCTCCTCCTCCCCCTCCTCCTCCTCCTCCTCCTCCTCCTCCTCCTCCTCCTCCTCCTCCTCCTCATCCTCATCCTCCCCCTCCTCACCAAGATGGCACGACGCCGCTCGGCACCCGCCGTTCCCTCCTAGGCCCCGCCGCACCGCCCCCCCCATGCCCCGCCGCGCGAGGTAGGACCGCTTCCTGAGTGCCTCCGGAGCGTGGGGCCAGGAGGGGTGGCACCGTGCCGCCCAAGGCAGGACGGGGGAAGGCCGAGGAGGAAGAGGGGAAAGTCAGCAGGCAATTTCTGGGAGGTCTTCGTGGGAAGCGACGGAACCCCCGGGGAGTTTTATCTCTGGGGCCTCCAGGGTTCCGCTGCGTTCCTCCCTCCCCTCCCTCCCACCTCTGTCCCTCTTCCCTCCTCCTCCTCTTCCTCGTCCTCCTCCTCCTCCTCCTCCTCCTCCTCCTCCTCCTCCTCCTGTTCATCCTCCTCCTCCTTTTCCTCCCCCTCCTCCTCATGCTCCTCTTCCTCCATCTACATGCTCGTTTATTCACGTTCTCCCCCCCACCCTCCCTGGGACAGGATTGAGCCCGAGTGGGCCCGACGGAACCCCCACACTGAGGGGCAACGGCGGCGGGGGGCGGCTCAGGGGGGAGATGTCGAGCTGGAATCAGCGACGCGTCGCCAACGGATCGGTAATAGGCCTCCGACACGAATCCGCACGTTGCTGGGCGGGGGGGGGATCGGGTCCCTATCGGCGACCATAAAGAAAAATTGGGGTCGATTCCTCCCCCCCTCTCAGACGATCGCCCCCTACTGTTGCCTCCCCACATATTTGGACGCCCGAAACTAGCACGAAGAAAATGGGCACGATGCCCAACAACAAGTGCTGTTCAAAACCAACAGCTGCCGCTGTCCGGCAAGCCGCCCTCTGTCTCAAAAGAGCAACGACCGCGGCGACGCCGACAACGAAACCTGTTCAGACTGAACAAGAAAAGCTGTTGGACTTTGTGCCCGTTGTTTCCGTACCAAGTTCGGTAGCGCTAAGCAGCAGGTGGGAGGCGAGGCGGAAACCGGGAAGGTTCGGAGACAGCGTTTGCGACGTCTTCGCAAAAAACGATTGACGCCAGGTTGAACCCGATTTGGCCAGTCTGGACGGAAGCGTGTAGAAACATGCGAGGCTTGGCTTGTTTTCGACCACGGACAGACCAGCGCGGATGTTGAATTTAACCTCCTAGGACTTGCATCTTGCATCTTGAGAAAGGGGGGGGGCGCCGCGGCGGTGGCGCGCGGAGATCTCTGGGCCCCCCGATGGGGTCTGCCTCGTCCCTGGTCGATTCCTCCAGGGGGCGGGCAGGGGGGAATGAGGCAAGTACTGGGAAATGCGATGAGTGTGATGATAAAGACGACGGTGACGCGTCTTCGAGTTAGCGACGGCGCACGATGACGATGTTGCGCTGCGACGTACTGTCACTACGGTCCCCGATTTCGATCTCGTTCGACTGATCCCACTGTCAACCTCAGGGCCAGCTTAAGTCCACTGGATTCAGCGATCGATCCCACTAGCGATCTCCAACTGCGAAGCGCTGAGTAGGACACCACCCAAGGAATCGAACAAATGCTGGCCCGACGTGACGCGGCTTGCGGCGAGCTCCACGAACCCCGCTCTGGAGCCAGCGGAATACAGGAAACGCTGCGCCAGCCTGCGCGACCCCCCATACTCGGCACCGCTGGCAGAGCCTGGCGGCAAGCCGCTGGCAGAGACTGGCGGCGACAAGGCACTGGGGAAGAGGCGCGCGCCACCCGCGCCACCCGCAGACATGGCGAAGAGGCGGAAGCAAGGATTGCGCGTCTGGTAGCAATCAATGGTCGCTGTGGCCACGGTGCTGATCGCACTGGCCGCGATGCTTACAATGCGATGAGTGGTGGTTAGAACGAGAACCAAGACAACCCACTGAACCGATCTCACAAGCGATGTTGAGGTCGATTTCGCGATCGACCTCACCATCGATCCCATCGTAGAAATCACATAACCGATCACACTCGATCGAGAACACTCGATTCCATGATTGATACCGCTACACATAAACATATATATATATATGTATCACTGGGTGCCTGGCTTCCGATCTCACTATCGATATTACGGTCGATCTCACTACCAAGTCTGCGATCGACATCATTATCAATCTGACGATCGGTCACACAACAAATGTCACAATCTACCTCGCTGTCGATCTCACTTCAGATCCCAGTATCTATCCCATTCTGGCGATGTCATTATAGATCCCACGATCGCCTTCACATTTTACTATCGACACCAAGGCGGACACCCCCAGCCACCGCCCGCCCACCGCCGACGAACACCGACGGGACACCAACGGGACAGCAACGGGACACCACATAACACAACGGCGGGACACCCTGGGCCACCGCGCGCCCACCGGGGGCGGAGGGGCGGTCCACTGCATCCGAAATGTCCTTGCGACGGCGGGGTCATTCCTCTTGCGCGACCACGCAACTTCGCCTCGCCCGCACGCACGACGGAAACACGAAACCGAAACCGATTTCCCCGGGGGGGCTCTCCGTTCCACTGCGATCGCACCCCCCCTCCGATGCTCACCTTGTAGTTGCTCGAGGCTGCCCAGGCTCGAGCACCGGAGAAGAGGAGGCGAGCGCCGACTTCACACCGTGGGCCATCGAGAATCGATGCCGGCTCGGGTCCGAAGGCCGTGGTCCCGGTAAGCAAGACCGGCAGACAGAGATGCACGGTTTCCCCTGGGGCCGTAGGCGACCCGAGGAGGAAGAAGAGGAGGAGGGGGAGGAGGAGGAGGAGGAGGAGGAGGAGGAGGAGGAGGAGGAGGAGGAGGAGAGGAGGAAGAGGAGGAGGAGGAGGAGGAGGAGGAGGAGGAGGAGGAGGGGAAGGAGGAGGAGGGGAGGAGGAGGAGGAGGAGGAGGAAGGAGGAGGAGGAGGAGGAGGAGGAGGAGGAGGAGGAGGAGGGGAGGAGGGGGAGAGGGGAGGAGGAGGAGGAGGAGGAGGAGGAGGAGGAGGAGGAGGAGGAGGAGGAGGAGGAGGAGGAGAGGAGGAGGAGGAGGAGGAGGAGGGAGGAGGAGGAGGAGGAGGAGGAGGAGGAGGAGGAGAGGGAGGAGGACACGCCTAAGCCACTCGGAGAAACCCTCCAGGCAGAGAAGGGGGGCCGGCCAGCGGGCGAGGAGGGGCCGAAACGAGGGCCGGCAGAGCGAACGAGGCGCGATGCAGGAGGCGCGAGCGTGAACCCGAAGGACACGGGGGGCCGACGGAGAAGCAGGGAGCGAGGGGGCAAGAGGGCAGGGCGAGAGTTCGAGAGCAGAAAATCCACCCTCATCACAATCACCCCGACACGCGAAGTCGTTTCATAAACACGCCCAAAGAAAAAATCGATCAGGGCAGGGCTGTTTAGTAAACGCCCAGGGCCGGGTGGCTCTTCCTACCATGAAGAGTGATGTCAGAATTCGATTGGCTCAGGGCACTCTCCAGGAATTCATGGAGCATCTGGCAGACCTCGCTGCTGCAGCCCGCGCGGGAGAATATAGGGAACCTCGGAAATCCTGGAAGTCTTGGGGCGCATCATTACCATGGCTTCTTGCCCCTCCGATGGAGAAGGACGGGGAAGGGTAAGGTTTCATGTTGCACAATCGAGCCGGCAATCACAAAAACGGCTCAGGGAAAAGAAGCCAAACTGTTCACCAAACTGGCCTGGGCAGTCTGAGAATCCGAAGGACGCTCGGAACTGGTTCGAAAACGGTTCGGATCCGGCAAAACGAACTGAAACAAAGATTTGTGCTCTGGACCAGGCCTTCCAAGGGAAACGAAAACAGTAAAACAACGGCGCCAGAGCCGTCACCAAAAACTGCGCCGATAACGGACAACAAAAAACTGGAAAACGAAAACGGTGCACAAAAACTGCCCTGGCGTTTCCAGGGCCCACCAAGGCTGTGATTGCATGGGGGGCGACGGGGGCGCCCACGGGTGGCTGCCGCAGCACTTGGGCTAACCCATCGTTGAGAGTTCAGCGGCACCTCGACGGTCCTGAGACCGTGCGTCTGCTCAAGATCAATGAGCATCGGATCGGGAAATCGGGTCGGCCCGAAATCTGCGTCGGATCGGGCTGCACGGGCACGAAGTCGAAACCGTACATATCGGATCGGCCGCGCCAGGATGCACCACAGCGCCCGTACAGGCATCGGGCCGCACCGGGTCGTCGGGACATCGGAATCGAAGTTGTTCGGTCGGGCCGGAGGAGCAGACGTCGAAGTGGATCGATCGGGTCGAAATGGGCCCTGACGTGTGCTTGTCCACCGACGCCCTTCGAAACGACAAGGGGCGGCGGCGTGGCGAGGGCAGGCATCAAAGGCTGCGTGCCGTGGGCGGTGCTGGACGGGATGAGCACACACCGGGCGAACGCAGGGTCCTGAGGATCATCGCGGGGGCGCGCAACCATGGATTGGGGGAGGTGCCCTCCCCAAAATGCGGCCAGTGCCGCCTCCCTCGGCGGCGGGAATCCGCGATTTCCCATGGAAGCGGGACCCGTCGCTGATCCACGCCCCCCTGATCCATGTTTGCGATTGCCTGATCATCGAACTTCTGCTGTCCCTCGACTCGCGCTGGAGCCTCCGCGATGTGCTTCAGACTTCCCTGGAGACATCTGGATCTGGTTCGGCGTATCCTGACGGCCCTCAAGAGTGAGGCTCGGCCATCCCGTCGACAGTACCCCCCCGGGGCGGGAGTTCGAATGTGGAGCTCGGGCCCGAACTCAAAGCTTCGAACTCTCCCCTCGAGGAGGGAAGAAGAGGCATCAGGAGGAGGAGGAGGAGGAGGAGGAGGCGACGACGACGACGACGACGATCAGATTTGTTCCACCGGCACGTTTTCCTCGATCTCGGCCCGCGGAGGCCGCCTCTGGGGCTGGGGCCCAGGACGAAAGCCTGCAGCCAGACACGGGCCAGGAGCACATCATAGGGCGCAAACAAGCCTACCTCGCTTTGGGCCACCCTCGCTTCCAAGAGATACCAAGCGATGCCAAACTACGGCCTGCGCTGGTCAGGCCGCTTGACGAGGAGGCGCGTGGTATGACTTGGTTTTGCCGGAAGCGAAAGCGGGGTAGGTAATTCACGCTCTGAACATCAGGAGCACATGCCTCAAGAATACGAGACCCTCCGTCGGCCAGAACGTACACAACATCCACGGGAACCAAAACACAGCAAAAGCACATCGACCCCTGAAGTAGAAGGGCGCCAGAAGCAGATTGGGATCCGGGAGCCCAGAAGCACCTGCTCTCGACGACCGACGTGTACCCTGCCCAGGATGCACCAGAATATCCAACAAACACTAAGGACACTGGGGTAGCCTGCCCTAACTGACAACAAGATTATACCTCGGTCCGACTGTAATTAGATGCTAGACTGTAATGGGCGGAGTGCGCAGAAGGAGGAGGAGGAGGAGGAGGAGAAGGAGGGAGTCGAACGCCACAAGCATGCCTTCAGGTCCGCTCAACGTCGAAAAGGAGGAGGGAGCATGGAGCACGTAGAACGCAGGAGGCGAAGGAGGACGTAGAAAGACGGACGATAACTAAAGAGGAGGACACCAGGGTTACCCTCCCCGGAACCGAACTCGACCTTTTGGCGGCTCGCTCGCACCTGAGCGGCGCGTGAAGGTGTTCGTCGACCAGCAACCGCCGGCGGAGTTTAACACGAGAAACATATCGCTCAGATCCCATCCTGCAACATTCTTTTCCGGGGCCAGAACCCTCGGTGCAGGTAAACATTTTCTTATCTGGCGTTTCGACATGGGGCGGAAGCGGGGTGGGGGAGGGCGAAGGGGGTCTAGCTCTGGACCTCTGCTTCATGCGGCTGTTTGCAACAGTGCATGCTTTGGGGAGACTCCACCCGCTTGAAGCAGGCGCCAAAAACAGCAAAGATCTACTCCATGGGGGGGAGTGCGTGCGAGGGCTCGCGCCGATCGGCAAAACGAGGAATAATAAAACAACCATCATGTAACATGATGATTGTCCGTGTTTGCTAAGCCGGTGCGCACTGGAGGTCGGAGTGCCGAGTTCTGAGCTAGTGGGCGCTGGAGGGTGCAACGAAGAGAAGTCTCGACGATCATCAGAGCGTGCGTTGGCGCCAACGTGTGCTTGTTTGAGCATGCCTGGGGGGCCAGGGCTAGAAGGTCGGGGCGCAGGGCACTCGGGAAGCGTGCCACTTTGTCTGCTAACTCTGCGATGCCTGTCTGGGATCAACTGGCCGCCATGGGCGACGCGCCGACACCTCCAAAGCTGCACCGACGGCCAGAAAACAAAAGTTGCCAGACTCCTGCGCGCAGCTCTGCAGAAAGGCAGGGGGCCTGGCCCAGGAACCTACTCGAGTGCGTTGCCCACCTGCCCACCGAAGCCACTCGAGACGACGCGGGCGGCGCATCGCGAGGGCAGGCACAGAGGCTGCGTGCTGTCGGCGGTGCTGGACGGGGTGCAGGCACGCATTGGGCCGACGCAGGCCCTGAGGGCCATCGAACCTCGGCTGTCCTTCGACTCGCGCTGGAGCCTCCACGATGTGCTCCAGATGGGCGACCTCGGAAACCCTGAGCCCAAAAACGTTTGTACCTCTCGGGGGCGCAACTGTTGCTTCCGCCGCCTACCGCCGGCTTCCGCCGCCGGCGGAGGCGGCCTCGTCTTACTTCCGCCGACCTTTCGCCGCCCTTCCGCTGCCTTCCGCCGCAGAAGAGATGAACACTCCTTCGATCCTCGAAGGCGAGGCCCTTTTTGGGAACGCCCCAGATGTCCCTGGAGATCTCTGGAGTTGGCTCGACGTATTATGACCTACTTTGGCACATCTGGACTGGCGTCGACGTGTCTGGCTTCACCCCCACAAGTCGATTTGTCAAGAGCCGTCAAGCCCTTGAGGGAACCCATGAGGGCTCGATGACCCTCAAAATCGCGGTTCGGTCGCCCCGCTGGCAACGATCCTCCTTCTCGATCCACTCGGGGGGCTCTCGATACGGGTGCGGGCGCGGCCGCCAGGACCCCTCGCAGGAAGCCCGACGCTGGAAACCCGCGCTCGAGGCACATCTTGGGGGAAAGCCCTGGGCACCCCGAACGCACCAGCACCGTGACGCCGGCGGGAATCCGCCGCGCAGCGCGCGGAGCGAAGAGGCCCGAGGCAACCAGACGAAACGCATCCGGCTACTTGACCCGCGCCCCCACTGGAGCCCACAGAACTGAGACTCGATCACCGCTCATTCTGCCACCCCTCCGGCTGCTCTCCTCCTCCGTGGAAGCTTCTGGAACCACCGGGCCGCGCAAAACCCACTCGGGGGCCAGGGTGAGCAGAGGGAGGGCGGTGCGGAATCATCCTCCTTCGGGCGGGGCTGGGACGAGGACAACTCCGCTCCAGAGCGTTCCGGATCTCTCTCAGAGCAATCCAGAACGCTCTGAAAGCCCGTGGCGCCCGATGCATCCTCCAGAGACACCAGATCTCAGAGGTTCTCGAACCGTCCTCACCCGATGTGATCCTCGTCCTGGCTTCGTCTCGGTCCTCCCTCCCCTCCTCCTCCCGATTCTTTCGCGCTCGACGCCGTCCGATGCGTCGCCACGGCCGGAGGCGGCTCGGAAGACGGGCCGGGATGGGTGGCGGCCCGAGGAGGGTCCAGGATTTGCCCAGAGCGGCCTGGCCTTAAGTCGGGCCTGTCCCCCTACACGGGGAGCTTCGACGAAAGATAAAAAATGTTCAAAACATACTCCAACATGGTCAAAAAAAAATTAAAAAATAGTCCCCAGGCTAATTTTGACAATTTTTGAATCTGCCCCTGTAGAGGGACAGGCCCGACGTAAGCCTGGCCTCAACAAAGATGGTCCGCGGCAACTGGGAGGACTCGTCGTAAGCGGACTCTGGCCTCAGCGAAGATGGCCCGCGGCTGCCTCTGGAGATCGCCCTGGCCCAAAGCACCCGCAGCGCCTCCCACGCTGCTGGGGCCACCCTTGGGCACCCCTGGATGGGAGCCTCGAGGACACCTGGGCCTCTCTGGAGCAGACCCTGTGGACAGCTTCGGTCAGGGACGGGAAGATTTTTCGGACGCAACATCCACTTGTCTCGATGCTATCCCTGTTAGCTCGCGCGCGTGCTGTCGGCTCGCATCACGAACCAAGTGAAAAGAGATCGCCAAGCAAACCCGCATTCCCAATCGAAGTGGGCGAGGGCCGATGCTGCACCGGGATGATGTGACGGGCAGACCATGGGAGGCAACCTGCTGGTGGCCTCCCTGGACCCTGAGATCCGACGTAGCAGAAAAAAATACAACATCGCAAAACATCGCGCCATGAGCCCTGGACACCCTCGTTTCGCGTCATTTCTCGAGCTGGATCGATCTGCGAGGGCCCTCGGGCCCGAGCAAAAAAGCGAAAACGTCCAGCTCGAAGAACTTGGGACGCCAGGATCTCGGGGGAGGAATCATCGCCGGCAGAACCCCGAGCACGGGCGGGACAAGAGGCCCAGGCCACCCGGTGAAAGATGTCTTGTCCGGCGTTTCGACACTGGGCGGAAGGCGGGTGGGAGGGGGAGGGCGTCTGGCCCTGGACCTCTGCCTGATGCGACGGTTCGCAACAGTGCGTCCCATAGGGGAGACCCCACCTGCTTGTGACAAGCGCCGAAAACAGCCAAGATCCACTAAGTTTTAAAAGATGATGTTAGTTGTCTCTGCTTTGTTCGAGCTGCAGGCTGGCTACGGATCTGGGAAGCACCCCTTTAATCAAGAAAGCATCAGGCACATTCGCCTACAGTATCAAGACGTCTGAAATCGGCCTGCAACGACTGAAAAACTATTCGCACTAGATGGGAGGGGGGGAATGGGAAACAAAAAGGCACCGATATCGCTACTCCCCGGACCTCTCCCGGGGTGCGTTCAGACCAGAATTTCGAGGCGAATCCAGCGGTGGCGACAAGGGCCTCCCAGGAGGCCCAAAATGGGGAACAAGGGGAGGGTAGAGGTATGGGTACCTTTTCCTCCTCTGAGGGAGGGGTGGGGGGGGGGCGAGGACCCGCGCCGATCGGGAAAGCAAGAAACAAGAAACCGATCACGTGGTCATCGATGCAGTGCAGGTGTTGCCTTTCTTCTTTCTGCCAGAGAAGCAGGTCGACCGATGTGGCATCAAGAAGCCTCCAAGTGCGCGAGCGAAGCGCCCCTGAGCGGGACCAGGAGGAGGCCCAAGCGCGACGCCGCAGAGTCGGCGCGCAGCACGTTCTGCCGCCCGAGAGCGGCAGGGCGCGAGCGGCAAGGAACTTTGGTAGGTTTGCGTCGTGTCGGCTGGCGGCGGCCCCGCCGCAGGCGTTCAACGTTGAACGCTGGCGACCCCGAATCGATCGATGTGGAAAGACCTGACGTTTCCGAAGCAGCCGATCGTTCAAGACCGAAACATCCCCGCGGTGTCAGAAACCAACGCCGGGGTCGACACGACGCGAGCCCGCCGCAGAGGCTGTACTGTCTCATCCCATGGAGCACGAGCTCCGAAGATCCCGAAGAGTCGATCGCCGCAGAGTCGACGCGCAGCACGTTCTGCCGCTCGAGAGCGGCGCGGCGCGAGCGGCCACCTGGGGCGCTCATCATGTTGTCCGTGTTTGCTAAGCCGGTGGACGCTGGAGGTCGGAGTGCCGAGCTCTGAGCTGGTGGGCGCTGGAGGTCGGAGTGCCGAAAAAGGAGGGGGGGGCGAGGGCCCGCGCCGATCGGCGAAACAAGAAAGACGAAAACGATCACCCCTCGGGGGCGCACGACACGAACCGAACCGCTCGAGAGCGGCGCGACGCGAGCGGCCACCGGGGGCGTCTGGGCGCCCCGCCGCTCAGGAGAGAGGCGCCAAAAACAGCCAAGATCTACTTCATTGGGGGGGGGAGAGAGGGCGGGCAAGGGCCCGCGTCGATCGGCCAAACAAGGAATGAGAAACTGATCGCGTGGCCATCGATGCAATCCAGGTGTCGCCTCTCCTTTTTGCCAGAGGTCGGGGCCCACCAAAGGGGGGGGGGCCCTGAGGGGGGGGGGGGGGAGTTCGATCCGCTGGTGCATCGAGTTTCAGAAAAACGATGCCCCCCGCGCGCCCCGATTGTCGACGCCGCTCGGGTGCCGGCGGAAGCCCGACACCTCGTTTTGCATCGTTTTCCTGCGGCTCGATGCGCCAACGGACCGAACCCACCCCCTCTACGAGGCCCCGAAGAGGGACAGGTCGGCCGATGTCGCCGATCGGCAGAGCGAGGAGCAAGAGAAAGACCGCCCCCGCTGGGGCGCCCGGGCGCTCTGCTGCTCCGTCCAAGGAGGCCAGGCCCACGCGCGGCCACCGGGACGCTGCTGCGGAGCAGCCAGGGACCCCCCCCCGTAGCACAAACACTCACACACGCACACGCACACGCACACGCACCACGGACCTCGGGTGTGCTCATGCCGTGCGTGCTTGCGCGTGCGGTGTGCGCGTGAGCGTGGTGCTTTTGCGTGTGTGTGTGTGGTTGTGTGTCTGTGCCTGAGTCTGAATATGTGTCGGTGTCTGTGTTTGTGTCTGCGCCTCTGTCTCTGCATACGTGCGTGCGTGCGTGCGCGCGTATGCGTCCGAGTCTGAGTCTGAGTCTGTGTCTGTGTCTGTGTCTGTGCTTCTGTCTCTGTCTCTGCGTCTGCATGCGTGCGTGCGTGCGTGCGCGCGTGTGCGCGTCCGCGCGTGCGTGCGTGCGTGCGTGCGTGCGTGCGTGCGTGTGTGTGTGTGTGTGTGCGTGTGTGGGCGTGGTTATGTGCTCGTTGTTCGCCGCACCTGTGGCCGCTGCCCACTGCCTGCCCCGCTGCTGCCCGGCCGCTGTCCCGTGAGAGGCCACCCGTCTCTCCTTTCCGTTTCTCCCCGGCGCCACTGTGCACCCGTCAGGGGCGCCCGGGGAACTGGCGAGTCGCCGCTCCGCTAAAGTGTGTGTGTGAGAGAGAAGAGTTTGTGCGTGTGTGCGTGCGTGAGTAGGAGTTTGCGTGTGTGTGTGTGTGTATGTCTGTGTGTGTGTGTCTGTGTGTGTGTGTCTGTGTGTGTGTGTGTGTCTGTGTGTGTGTGTCTGTGTGTGTGTGTCTGTGTGTGTGTGTGTCTGTGTGTGTGTGTGTGTCTGTGTGTGTGTCTGTGTGTGTGTCTGTGTGTGTGTGTCTGTGTCTGTGTCTGTGTGTGTGTCTGTGTCTGTGTGTGTGTGTCTGTGTCTGTGTCTGTGTCTGTGTCTGTGTGTCTGTGTGTCTGTGTGTCTGTGTCTGTGTCTGTGTCTGTGTCTGTGTCTGTGTCTGTGTCTGTGTCTGTGTCTGTGTCTGTGTCTGTGTCTGTGTCTGTGTCTGTGTCTGTGTCTGTGTCTGTGTCTGTGTCTGTGTCTGTGTCTGTGTCTGTGTCTGTGTCTGTGTCTGTGTATGTTGTCTTGGTCTGTGTCTGTGTGTCTGTCTGTGTCTGTGTGTCTGTGTCTGTGTCTGTGTCTGTGTCTGTGTCTGTGTCTGTGTCTGTGTGTCTGTGTCTGTGTGTCTGTGTCTGTGTGGTCCCTTGTTTCGCGCATCCCACCTGTCTGTGTGTCTGTGTCTGTGTCTGTGTGTCTGTGTCTGTGTGTCTGTGTCTGTGTGTCTGTGTCTGTGTGTCTGTGTCTGTGTGTCTGTGTCTGTGTGTCTGTGTCTGTGTGTCTGTGTCTGTGTGTCTGTGTCTGTGTGTCTGTGTCTGTGTGTCTGGTCTGTGTGTCTGGTCTGTGTGTCTGGTCTGTGTGTCTGGTCTGTGTGTCTGGTCTGTGTGTCTGGTCTGTGTGTCTGGTCTGTGTGTCTGGTCTGTGTGTCTGGTCTGTGTGTCTGGTCTGTGTGTCTGGTCTGTGTGTCTGGTCTGTGTGTCTGGTATGTGTGTCTGGTCTGTGTGTCTGGTCTGTGTGTCTGGTCTGTGTGTCTGGTCTGTGTGTCTGGTCTGTGTGTCTGGTCTGTGTGTCTGGTCTGTGTGTCTGGTCTGTGTGTCTGGTCTGTGTGTCTGGTCTGTGTGTCTGGTCTGTGTGTCTGGTCTGTGTGTCTGGTCTGTGTGTCTGGTCTGTGTGTCTGGTCTGTGTGTCTGGTCTGTGTGTCTGGTCTGTGTGTCTGGTCTGTGTGTCTGGTCTGTGTGTCTGGTCTGTGTGTCTGTGTGTCTGTGTGTCTGTGTCTGTGTGTCTGGTCTGTGTGTGTGTGTCTGGTCTGTGTGTCTGGTCTGTGGTGTCTGGTCTGTGTGTCTGGTCTGTGTGTCTGGTCTGTGTGTCTGTCTGTGTGTCTGGTCTGTGTGTCTGGTCTGTGTGTCTCTGTGTGTCTGGTCTGTGTGTCTGGTCTGTGTGGTCTGTCTGTGTGTCTGTGTGTCTGTGTGTCTGTGTCTGTGTCTGTGTGTCTGTGTGTGTGTCTGTGTGTCTGTGTGTCTGTGTGTGTTGTCTGTGTGTCTTGTGTCTGTGTGCCTGTGTGCCTGTGTGTCTGTGTGTCTGTGTGTCTGTGTGTCTGGTGTGTCTGTGTGTCTGTGTGTCTGTGTGTCTGTGTGTCTGTGTGTCTGTGTCTGTGTGTCTGTGTGTCTGTGTGTCTGTGTGTCTGTGTGTCCGTGTGTCTGTGTGTCTGTGTGTCTGTGTGTCTGTGTGTCTGTGTGTCTGTGTGTCTGTGTGTCTGTGTGTCTGTGTGTCTGTTGTGTCTGTGTGTCTGTGTGTGTGTGTCTGTGTGTCCGTGTGTGTGTGTCTGTGTGTCTGTGTGTGTGTGTGTCTCTGTGTCTGTGTGTCTGTGTGTGTGTCTGTCTGTCTGTCTGTGTGTCTGTGTGTCTGTGTGTCTGTGTGTCTGTGTGTCTGTGTGTCTGTGTGTCTGTGTGTCTGTGTCTGTGTGTCTGTGTGTCTGTGTGTCTGTGTGTCTGTGTGTCTGTGTGTCTGTGTGTCTGTGTGTCTGTGTGTCTGTGTGTCTGTGTGTCTGTGTGTCTGTGTGTCTGTGTGTCTGTGTGTCTGTGTGTCTGTGTGTGTGAGTGTGTGAGTGTGTAAGTGTGTAAGTGTGTGTGTAAGTGTGTGTGTGTGTAAGTGTGTGTGTGTGTGTGCGTGCGTGCGTGCGTGCGTGCGTGCGTGCGTGCGTGCGTGCGTGCGTGCGTGCGTGCGTGCGTGCGTGCGTGCGTGCGTGAGTAGGAGTGCGTGTTTGTATATATGCGTGTGTCTTGTGAGTGTGAATGCGTGTGTGTGTGTGTGTCTTTTTGTGCGCGGGTGTCTGTGTGTGTGGGTGTCTGTGTGTGTGTGTCCGTGTGTGTGTGTTTGCGTTTGTGTTTGTGTGTGTTTTTGTGTGTGGGCTCGCTTCTGCATGCATAAATTCACTTGGGGGAAGCGGGTCCCGAGGGAAACGAGACATGGACCCCGGGGCCCTGCCCCAAGATGAGATCGTCATCCTGAGCCGTCTTCTGCCAGTCCTGGGGCCCGTGGAGGGCCCCGCGAGCCCGACAACGGCGAACAACACTCAGGACCCACTGCCCTCAGGACCCGCTTCCCCCGTGGCGATGCATACGCATTGTTATTCTTTTTGCCACACGTTTGGACGCCCGAAATGGATACGGAAAGAATGGGCACAATGCCCAACAGCAAATGTTGTCCCGAACCAACAGCGGCCGCTGCTGGGCAGCCGGCCTTCTGTCGCAAATAGACACAGGCCGCGGCGGCGTGGACAGCGAGTCCTGTTCAAAATGAACAGGAACTGCTGTTGGGCATTGTACCCATTCTTTCTGTACCCATCTCGTTCGTGCAGAACACGTGCCGGGCCACGACTGCCCGCCACGCGTCCCGGCGCAGGACGCGGAAACAGAGCCCCGCACCTCCGGAGCCTCGGCCCTGGGCCCCCGGCAGCGGCGGAAGAGGCGGCGGCCCGCGCGGCCTCGAGGTTGCTGAGTAGCCAGTACAGGATCGGGTGCACCGTCCGCTTCTCACCGCTCATGACGCCTGCTGGGGCAACTACCTTCGCGCTTCGCGCTCCGCGCGAAGTGCAAAGCGTGATCATGTTCGCGCTTTCGCGCCGCCACCGCCCAGAACAGGATGTCGGACTCGCGCCTCGATCTGAAATAGACCAGACAGCGATGCGCAAAGCGCGACTAACTTCGCACCCTTCTCGTCGCTCATGAGGCGGCATGCCGCAAGGAGCCGCTGCACATCCTAAGGAAACAGGCATTTATACAGGTCCACCTTCTTCCTCCTCCCCCCCAGTCCTCTCCTTCCTTGGAGAAGGGAAGGAAAGGAACACTGCCGCACGGGTAAGATGAAGGCAAAATCGAAACAACATCGGCTCGGTATCTAGTCGCAAATATACGAGAATCGGCGGGTTTGGAGGATGTATCGGAAAATGTATCGGGCTCCGCGGCCGTTTCAGAGCGTTCCGGAACGCTCTGAGAGCGTTCCAGAACATCCTGGAACGGATTCATCTCGATTGCAGGCCCGTCTGGCAGGGGCCGCTGCACATCCCGCCCCGAAGTGGTCGAGAGAGGTCGAGAATGGGTGCGCACCGAGGCGGGCTCCAAACGACGCGACTCTAAGCGGCAGGCTGCCGCACCCGGGTCGTCATCGATCGAGCGGCCCTTCGCAGCGTCAAAGGCCTGCTTACGGACGCGGTAGGTGGCACCGAGGAGGAGGAGGAAGAGGAGGAGGAGGAGGAGCAGGAGGAGGAGGTGAGGTGGTGGTGCTCCTCTCATGGTCTGGGCTGCATCCCGTGATGATTGCATGCTGACCGCTGTGCGCTACACAAGAGGAAGAACCCCTCGAGCGTGCTTGGGGGTCGGCGCCCCCGCCACGACTGGTTATCCGATCTGGGGACACATTGGGCGGGGAGGAGGAAGAGGAGGAAGAGGAGGAGGAGGAGGAGGGGGGGGAGGGGAGGAGGAGGAGGAGGAGGAGGAGGAGGAGGAGGAGGAGGAGGAGGAGGAGGAGGAGGAGGAGGAGGAGGAGGAGGAGGAGGAGGAGGAGGAGGAGGAGGAGGAGACCTGCTCACTGAGGCGCGCCGAATCGTGGCTGCTGGCGCCACCGGCGATGGCGGTGCCCCCGGATCGGTGTGCGGGGGCCCGCACTCCGCGGGGGAGAGGGGGAGGAGGAGGCTCTGGCCCTCCCTTTCGATGTCTGGGGGGCCCCAGCGGGGGCGCGGGGCCCCGGGGGCGTATAACTATCAGGGCCTCGCCTCCCTCCGCGCGCGGCCGTGCGCGGGCTGAGAGATGTCGGCGGCAGGCGCCCGAGGTTTGCACAGGTGGCATTCGCCGCGTCAGTGGCCAACGGGCCCAGGCACGAGAATGGGCGAGAATGTGTGCAGTTGTGCGGCTGGGCGCTTGCACTTGCAAGCATGCTCGGACAGACTGGCTGCTGCACTGCTGCATGCCCCGCTGGCCAATTGCGGCTCGCCTCCTGTGTCGGGACGGCTGGGCTTTGGCAAGCTGCCCTGCTGAGTTTGACAGCGTGCGGCATTCCTGGAGGTATGGCGCATGCTGGTGGCCAGCTGGCTGGCGCCTGCTGTAGACAAGGAGTCAGGTTGATGTCCTTGCCCCTTCCATTCACCAAGTCCCCCCCCGAGAAACAGCATCCCAACACGTTTGCAAGAAGGTCAATGATAGCTGGAAATTTAGCCTGGCGAAAGACCCAACCATATGCAGTTGTGAGTAACGCAATTGTGAGTATTGTCATCGGTGGAGCTCCTTATAGGGCTACAAAATGTGTGAGAGATGTGCCGACATGGGCGGCGGGGACGCATGCGGTCGACACTATTTGGGCCTTCGGTGAAGCTCCTTGTGCGGCCACAAAACGCGCGAGGGGTGTACCAAAATGGGTGTCGGGGACGCATGCCGGCGCACGATTTGGCTATTGGGCGGAGCTCCCTCTGTTGCCACGGAACGTGTGAGGGGCGTCTCGAAATGGGTGAAACGACGCATGCGGGCGGCACCAGTTGGGCCTTGGGTGGAGCTCCCTATGGGGCCCCGGAACGTCTGATGGGGTGCGCCGAACGCGGTGGCCAGGATACATGCGGGCGGCACCATGTGGGCCTCGGGTACAACTCCCTCGGGGGGCCACGAAACGTGTGAGGGGTGTGCCGACATGGATATGGGGGACGCATGCGGGCGGCACCATTTGGGCCTTGGGTGGAGATGGGAGGAGCGAGAAGGGTGGACGCGCGGAGGAAGACGAGGAGAGCGAGAGAGAGAGAGAAGGTGAAAAAGGAGGAGGAGGAGATCGAGGACAATGGTGAGGAGGAAGGCGGGGAGGAGGGATGCGCATCCCTCAAGCCCTACCAGAAAGCTGGCAACACGAATGGCTAGATCGACATGTGGAACATCCTGAAGCCACATGTGTATCCAGCTCTCGTCCAGGTTGGCCGCGTCACGTTGTATCGAGCTTCCTGGTAGTCTCAAGTTGCTCTACCCCTTTCGGGGTCGATCGCTCTCCTGACTGGAACTCGGTGTCGAACGGGCATTGGTAGCCCACGGTGTGCAGGAATTCGGCCAGCTTCTGGTACCTGCCGGGAGGGTCACCAGAAGCAGCAGGACCAAGCCATCGCCAAGGGAGGCGACGATGACTGGGAGTAACTTCGCATTGAGAACCTTTTTTACATTGGGACACGGTTGAGCCTGCTCCCGTGAGTCAAAGCGGAAACGGAACTGATGCCGAACAAGCACAGTGAACTGTCACCATATTGGACACCAGGGGTAGGTCATGCACTTCACGCCCTTATGGCAAGACCCCCTCATTGAATTAAAATATTGGCGCGTGACCGAGAGGTTCGGTCATCTTCGCTACCATAAGCAACTCACGCTCGTTAGTGTCTGCACTCGCATGCTCCACACGATCTTATTTGCTAAACGGACTACCTCCAGAATACTGCATGCAATCCTGCCCGACAGGCGTTCTGGCGGGGCGTTCGTCACAACACTTGCTTTCGTTCCACCAACGCAACTCGTATTTTAAAGCGCCAGCTTCCAAACTGATTTAAAAGGGAATCCATGATGACACAGTACACCCAGGGAGAAGCATGAAGAGTCTGCAAGCATGTCAGCGCACGGACTAGACAGAAACTCGCGCGCACGTAGACCACCAACAACGACGGCATCCCCGCAAAACCCACGTGGGCAAAAGCGCTGGAGAGAGGAGGGAGGAGGGGAAAGGGAGGAACGGGGAGGAGCAAAGGATTGAAACGAACGAAGCAACCAATACGAGGCGGAGTGCTCTACCCATGGCAATCCCTGCGACGGTGCAGCGAAGCCGACAAGTGCGGAGGCCGAGCGCAGACATCTGGCCGATACGACCTGGCCCTCCGAACGCATCGCCGCCGCCTGTGAAACAGGGGGACGGCGAGGCGGACAGAGAGAGAGAGAGAGAGAGCGGGACAAGGGGAAAGCAGATGAAGCAGAAGAGCTGCACCAACGCAAACTTTCGGTGGTCCGCGCGGACGTCTTGGATCTGCGCTGGAGCTTGCCAGGGCCGGCGCCAGAGGCGTCGCCAGCAGGCTCCGGCGCAGGTCCAAGAAATCGACGCGGACCGTAGACAGTTATGTGTACAGTGGAGGCCAGTCCACAAGAAACCTTGCACAAGAAACCCAACCCTGAGACCCCCGAAGTCCCTTGCTGTTTGGTGTGGAAACGCCATGCTTTCAATAGCAAAATCGTGGGAACGCTTGAAACATATTGGCCAATTAAACTGGCTGGGCCAAACTCTTGGTGCGCTGGGCATCCATAGCCGCACGCATAGATCTTACGCGGTCAACTTCAATGTGATACTGGCCGATAGACCCCAGGATAGCCCAAAGAAGATAAGCAGCAGAGCCAAAATAAAGCTACAAACGAGCTCACATAAGCCTCGTAAACGTAGGTGGCGCAAGAAGGAGAGCTAATTCCAAGCTAGGACCAGCAAGGATAGCAGGCGCTACGCTGACCAATGCTAGAATACAACAAGCTCACATCAGCTCAGAACAGCTAAGTTCCAAATCTCCAACACACGCTTATACATGTCCAACTCCAACTTGAACTATACTCGTTTAAGATCGGCATACCTGCGCTATCTCCCCGGCAGGCTGGTGTCTCCGTCTTTGGCCTACATGGCCATCCGGTTCTCTGCTTGCGACAGCTCACCTAGAAATCGCTCTGGGCTTCTTAACGAGCGAGGGGGGCCCCGACGGGGGTCAACCTCGCCTCATCGTCGCGCCGCGACGTGGGTCGGAGCGCCTTCGGCGCGCGGTGGCTGCCCGCGACGGGGGTCGATGTGGAGCTGTCGGCAGGGGTGACACCCCCGACGCTTTTTCAGAAACTCGGAGAAGGAATGGGCTGCTTGGAATATGCAAGAAATCTAGGGATATGTTGAGTCAGATGAAGCTGGTGCAAGTCGAGAGGGTATGACCGAAGATATCGCCTGGCACGCCAGGGTGAACTCTGGGAACGGCGGAGTGAGGCGTCGGCGCATGATGGTGGAAGAAGCGGGATGGACAAATAAGAGGGAATCGCGCGTTCCGCCCCAAGAGGCCCCCAGGAGGCCCCAAGAGGTGCCCGATGAGATCCCTTGATGCACCCAGGAGGCCCAAGAGAGCCCAAAGAGGACCCCCAAGATGGCCCCGAGAGGCCAAAGCGTCGTCGTCGTCGTCGTCGTCGTCCCCCTTATCGGCCTCCTCCTCCGGCCGCCCTCCCGTCCACTCCCCCTCTGCCAATTCTCCTCCTCCTGACTCCCGCCTCTCCTGATTCCCCCCCTCCGGCCACCTCCCGTCCCCTTTCCCCCCTGCCTGCCGCCCATTTCCCCCCTTTCCCCTCTCCTCCTCCTCCTCCTCCTCCTCCTCCTCCTCCTCCTCCTCCTCCTCCTCCTCCTCCTCCTCCTCCTCCTCCTCCTCCTCTTCCTCCCTCCTCCTCCTTCTCCGCCTTTACCACTCCTCCTCCTCCTCCTCCTCCTCCTCCTCCTCCTCCTCCTCCTCCTCCTCCTCCTCCCCCCTCCCCCTCCTCCTCCGCCTCCTTTCTCCTTTCTCCTCCTCCTCCTCCTCCTCCTCCTCCTCCCCTCCTCCTTCCCCCTGCCGCCTCTGCTCCCCACTCAACTTAAAAGTCCCAGGCTGTGCGGCTTCTGCGGGCATGGTGAGCCGCTCGCGCATGGTGGTTGCTCGTTCGCAGCTGCACAGGTTCCTCAGGATGATGACGATGATGAGGAGGAGGAGGAGAAGAAGGAGGAGGGGGAGGAGGGGGAGGGGGAGGAGGAGGAGGAGGAGGAGGAGGAGGAGGAGGAGGAGGAGGAGGAGAAGAAGGAGGAGGACGGGTCGCCTTAGCCCTTATGAGAAACCCTCCATTCGCAGCACGGTACACCAGAGGATTAATTAGCAGAAAAAGAAGAGGCACAAACATAAACTGTTGGCGCTCCTCGCGGATTCCCTGGAACTGCGCTGGACACCCCCTTACTGGCGCGCGGAGCGCGCCAGGGGCGGCGACGCAGGCGCCGCGGGGGCGCCCCAGGCGCCGAGCCAAGAAATCCGCGCGGAACGCCAAAGTTTATGTTCATGGCGTTTTGTCTTCCTCGATTTATTTAATTCAAAGGCAGTGCTGTAAAGAGAACGGAAATATGGCCAGGCAGCGATTCACAGAATGCCCCCCCCCGCTTTGCGATGCCCTTCTTCGGAACGCAAACACCAGTGCCCTAGAAGCAAACTGGCGGAGGAGGAGCCTGTCTCCTAACTGCCTGGTCATCCGATGGTTCCTGACCCCGTGGCGCGCTCGAGCGTACGATTACCAGGCTGCCTCGAGCGGCGGGTTTCACGAGGTGGGAGGGGAAGGAGAAACCAGGTGGGGAAACACAGGTCATACAAGCCAGCAGGGGCGGCGCAGAACAGCACGTCCAATCCAGTAACCACCTCTCCTCATCAAGCCGGCGAACAAATGCCGGAGTACAGCTTCGCGGCCAGCTGCCAGGCCAAGCCAAGCCCGCCTTCCGCAGGTCCACGAATCAATTACCCAAGAAGAGCGGGCATGTTGCAGGCCGCTGCGAGAGGCACGAGAGGCGCACGCGAGTACCCAACCGAGCGGCTGCGAGCCCGGGGATTCAATTCAACGCACAGCTGCGCAGCGCCCGGCAAGAGGCAGGCGGAGGCAGTCACGTCGATCGGCGGCTGGAGCCCCCGAGCTAACACGAAGGGAATCATAGAAGAGCGGAGGACACGAATGGGGGCGAACATGGGGCAGAAGGGGAGAAGGGGTCAGGAGTGAGGATGATGCGGCGCGAAGGGCAGACGAGAAGGAGAATCGAATAAAAAGGGGGCAAAGAAGGAGACGACGAAGAAGAGGGGAAGGAGGAGGGACGTGGGCTGCCCACCCCAGCTGGCACACTCTCCTTGGTAAGCAAGAAACCCCGCCCACTTGCCCACCCTGGCTGTGTTTCCCCACTGGCCTTCATCCGCCCGGACCATCTCCCTGGACGGATGTTCGAGCCGCCGCCCCCGTCCCCTCCTAAGGGCAAAGAAGGCCAAGAAAGCGGGCGCAAAGACAGACCTCTCTTCCCTCTCCTCCCTCTCCTCCCTCTCCTCCCCCTCCTCCCTCCTCCCTCCTCCCTCCTCCTCCTCCTCCTCCTCCTGCTCCTCCTCCTCCTCCGCATTCTCCTCCGCCTCCTCCTCCGCCTCCAGCCAGAAGACCAGGTGACCCGCCCGCGGAGGGGCTGACGTCTGGTCGAGGTTGTCTCGCCAATCGTAGTCGTGCTTTTTGTCCATGTAGACGCAGATCCTCTTCAGCACCTGCGCTGGACGCGTGAGGGTGCGGCGATCGATCACAGCGCTTGGAGGTAACAGATCCACTCCTTGCCCCTTCTCCCCACCCCCATCCCCCTCGAGATCACTTGCCTCCCCCCCTGGAGGAGGAGGGGGGGCGAGGAAGAAGGAGCAGGAGGAGAAGGATACTGGCAGATTGCACAACCTTTCAGGGTGGCTGGCCCATGTCTTGCCGATGGTAGAACGCACTTCTCTGCGGGAGACGAGTAGGAAGGAGGAGGGAGGAGGAGGAAGGAGGACGGGAGGAGGAGGTTGAGGAGGTAGCAGGAGGAGGCACAACGTGAAGGAGGAAGAGAAACATGGCTCAGCGTTACATGAGGATGAGTATGAGGCGCAGCAGCCGAACGAAGAGGAGGAGGGAGAAGAGGGGGAGGGGGGGAGAAGAAGCGAGGAGCGAGGGGAAGGAGGAGCTTAGGAGGAGGAGGAGGAGGAGGAGGAGGAGGAGCTGGGAGTGGCGATGAGCAGGCGGAGGCGGAGGATAAAAAAGTCATGTCCACCTCCCCCCTCCCGTCCAGTCCTCCTCCTCCTCCTCCTCCTCCTCCCCCTCCTCCTCCTCCTCCTCCTCCTCCTCCTCCTCCTCCTCCTCCACAATTACTCAATATGAATACTACTCTCCCTCTTCCCCTGATGACGGTTTGAAAGTGGCCGACCCCCCCCGCGTACTGTTTTTTACACACAGGTTTCCCCGGAGTTGGGTTTTCGCCTGCATTTTTTTCCAAAATGCTGCTCTCGCTGAGGCGCCGGCCTCATTTTCGGGCCCCGCTCGTTCCGAATCGTGCTCCCGCTGCAGCGCTGGCCTCATTTCCGTGCTTCCGCTCGTTCCGAATCGTGCTCCCGCTGCAGCGCTGGCCTCATTTCCGCGCTTCCGCTCGTTTCGACTCGTGCTCCCGCTGCAGCGCTGGCGTCATTTCCCGTGCCATGCCACGGCATGCAATGCAATGCTAGGTTGATACTACGCTTTGCGGTGCTCTTCTACGCCATGCCATGCCGTGCTCTACAATGCATCGCGTACCCTTTCGGGATCATTGCCCTGCTCGACATCCGACTGAGCGAGTAGAGAGGGGATCTGCGCCATGGTAAGGGATGGGAGGGAGGGGTAGGATGTCAGATATGACGCGAGCGCACCTAGCTTGTCCTCCCCCCTCTCCCTCTCCTCCTCTCTCCCCTCCTCCTCCTCCTCCTCCTCCTCCTCCTCCTCCTCCTCCCCTCCTCCCCTCCTCCTCCTCCTCCCCTCCTCCTCCTCCTCCTCCTCCTCTCCTCCTCCTCCTCCTCCTCCTCCTCCTCCTCTCCTTCCTCCTCCCCCTGCCCCCCACCCCCCACGACCCCGGGGCGCCGACCCCTTTGCCGGGGAGGGCGAGGGCGCGCAGCCCCCGGCAGAGCTGCCCCGACCCCTCGGGGGGGGGGCGGGCGTGCGGCGCCGTGGCCCAGGTGGGCACATCGAGGGCCCCTCGTCCTCCCCTTCCCCCTCGTCCTCCTCCCCCCTCGTCCTCCTCCTCCTCCTCGTCCTCCTCCTCCTCTTCCATCTCCTCCTCCTGCTCCTCCTCCTCCTCCTCCTTCCCCCTCCCCTCCAATGCAGACTACGGCGGGGTGCGATCCACTCGCAGAGTGAGATTGTGTTTCCTTGCTATTGCCGGCACCGGTCGTGACCCGGGGGGGGTGAGGGGCTGAGGTTGCAGGAAGGCTTGGGCGGGGTTGTGCACGTTGGGGCCAGGGTGCGCTGCCACGAGCACCAGCATGTGGGACGGGGGTCACGGCACCCCCGTACGTGCGATCGCTACAGTTACCCAGGCGGTGGAGAGGCCTAGATAATGACCGTTACGCGCAAGAGGATAACAACAAAACAATATCAGCCTGACGTGCTGACGTGTGATCCATGTCAGCCGTCGGCATGTCCGCTTCAGGCTTCGGCATGTTTGATGCAGGAGGAAGGTCGTCGTCGTCGTCGTCGTCGTCTTCGTCGTCGTCGTCGGGGGAAGAGGAGGAGAAGGATGAGGATGAGGATGAGGAGGAGGAGGAGGAGGAGGAGGAGGAGGAGGAGGAGGAGGAGGAGGAGGGGGAGGAGGACGAGGAGGGCACTTATCAATCAGGTTCCGACCTGGCGGGCGTCTGACAACGTGGCTCGCCCTCGCTGGACCCCCAAACCGCGTGCACCAGGCCTGGCGGTACGCATCCGCCCCCCTGCCCCTGGGGGGAGGACGAAGGGGGGCATGAGGCTCGTCAAAGTAAGAGGCGGTGGCCCCGGCAACCTCCGGACAGCAAAAGACTGCGGGGGGCAACACGTCCCTTTTCCAATGCGGTGCTGAATGAAAGTTGCCGCCTGCGAACCTTGTTCACGTTTAGGGAGCCAGATGCGAAACCTACCCCTACCCCCTACGATTTCTGAGGGGGAGGGTGGGGTTCACTTGGTTCGGGAGCTCCCGAGCGAAGTGAACCCCACCCTCCCCCTCAGAAATCGTGGGGGGTAGGGGTAGGGTTCGCATCTGGCTCCCTAAACGCTGGCCGAAACGTCAGAAACGCCAAGGGGGGCACGAAGGAAGGAGGTGCGGCACGCCCGGATACTCGTACGGAGAGAGGGCGCACGACGGCCATCCGCAGATGCTGCGCCAGACCAGCAGGCGGCCGCTGTCGGGCAGACGGCTCCTTGCCTCAGGTGAATGGTTGACGTCCTCGGCGACGCCGGCAGCGAGCCTGGCTCAAAACGGGCAGGGGCTGTTGTCGGCCTTCGTCCCCATCTTTTCCGTACAGCCACTTTCTGGAAGTATGGCCGAGTTCTTTCGTAGGGGCAGTTTTTACCGACGCCCCTACCGATTCAACAAGTGCGGCGTTCCTGCAAGCAAATATTAGCCCCCCCCCCGCCGAAATTAATCATGCCAAGCATACGTTGTCGCTGAGCAGGGAGGTCACTGGCTGGGAAAATGTAGCACCACTGAACACCGCGGCGCTAAACGTTCCGAGCTACATGTGAGGAGTGGTGTGACACTTTCAGCCTGCTATCCCTTACCAAACAAGTGCCAACCAGCGTGGAGTCCAACAAGTGTGTTCTTACTTGGAGCTGGGAGCCGGCCATGCCGTGCAGACTGTGTGGCCTAAGCGACGTGCCGGAAGCCGTGCCGCGCAAGCTCAGAGCGCAGGGCCCCCACGAGGCTCCACGGGCGGCGCCACCGGCGCACGGGGCGCCCGCGAGGCGCCCACGAGGCGGCACCGGCCGCGGCGTGGCACAGCCCTCGGCCTGCCCCCCTCCCCCAGCGCGGGGCGCCGCGAGGCGCCCCGCGAGGCGGCACGGGCCGCAGCGTGGCGAGCACCGGGCACGGCAGCCGAGCACCTGCCCGGAGCAGCGCAGGACCCCAGCAAGGGCAAGCACCGCTCGAGAGGCAAGGTGGACACAGAGCGCGCAGCTGGACGCGGGCGCGCGGGCGGTCCAGCTGCTGCGGCTTCGCGGCGGGGCAGTCTCGGGCCCAAACAGAGGGGGCCAGTGGTGTGTTCTCGCACTCGGGTGTAACGCGCGCAGCGCCACCGCCAAATAAAAAGGATGTGGAAACCAAAAGCTCGCTTCCAGGTTTACTGTGGCACGGCTGATTTGCCAAATCCCACTTTGTCACTGACACAACGAAAGCTACGTAAATATAAACCAGAAGGAGGTCCGCGCGCAGTTCTTGGATCCGCGCGGGACCCCGCTCCCTGGCGCGCCAGGCGCGGCACCGGAAGCGCCGTCAGGGGGTCGCAGAACTCAAAAAAAAAATGGCTTATGGCGTGCTTTTTTATTTTGGCACAAGGGGGGTCGGAAACCCTGAGCCCCCAAAAATGTCATCTCTTGCAAGGGTGACTTTGATCGGGGATCTGCTGCCCCGGGTCAATCCAGACCCTGGTCAGTCGGGCTAGGCAAAATCCTGCAAGATCCTGCAGGATCGTGCACCCAAACCAGGGTCAATACACCCCTAGCCCTGCAGGATCCTGCAACTGACTCCCGTTTGCAATGACCCCCGTCTTTTGAGCTCCGATCCACGTCCGCCACCTTCCGCCGGGGGAGGGATGCCAACTCCTTCGATCCTTGACGGCCAAGCCCTTGCTGGAACGCCTCACATGGCCGCGTTTATGTTGTAGCGTTGCCAACTGGCGGCAGTCACACACCCTTGTAGGCGGGCATGTTGTGTGACCCTCTCGGGAGCCTTCGTGGGAAGCCCTCGGGAGCCCAACGGGGCGGGTGTGACCCCGCAATGGCTCTGTGGCCTCACGGGGCTGTGTGATGCCCTGTTTGCTACGACCACCGCTGCAGTACAGAGCCCTTGTGACGCGAACAAAGCGAGGTCGACGACGACGACGACGACGCCGCCGACGCCCACGCCGATGACGACGCCGACGCCGACGCCGACGCCGACGCCGACGACGCCGGCGACGCCGACGACGACGGCGACGCCGACGGCGACGGCGACGACGACGACGCCGACGCCGACGCCGACGCCGGCGACGGCGACGGCGACGACGACGCCGACGCCGACGCCGACGACGGCGGCGAGAGCCATGTCGATCGCGCCGCGGGGCGAGGAGGGTGTAAAACAGGGCTAGGATCGGGATAAATCGCTCCAGAGCGTTCCGGAGCGCTCTCAGAGCGTTCCGGAACGCTCTGAGAGCGGCCGCGGCGCCCAATACATCCTCCAAACCCGCCGACTCTCAGAGATTTCGAGTTATCCCGATCCGATGTTGTCCCGATCTTCGCGTCGTTTTAGGGTGGCCCGCAGAAGGCGCCGTGGAGCGCCGGCCCGCCGAGAGGCCGCGGGCAGAGCGGCGGCGGGGGCGCGCGCGCATCCAGCAGCTCGTGCGGCTCCATCTCGTCGAAGGCCAGCAGCGACAGCTGCATCCTGCCGCACGCCGCGTCCTCGTCCTCGTCCTCGTCTCCTTCAGCCGTCGTCCTGAGAGTCGGTCGTCCGCCGCTGGGCCCCTTCCGCCACGCGCCGCCCTCTGCAGGACCACTGGCTGCTGATTGCCGAAGGCGCGCTGCGCCTGCTCGCTCGATTGCACCACTCGGGGGGGGGGGGCACGGCTCGCGACAGCAAGGAGAGCCAGCACCACCGGAACGCCACAGAGCCTCAGAGCTTCGTGCCCGGAGGCCGCTCCCCCTGGCCGGTGGCACCCCGCTCTGGGCACTCGGCCAGCGCCCTCGGCTGGCGGTGGTGGTTCTTCCTTCTCTGGTGCATGGCACAGAGGGGGGGAGGAAGAGAAGGGGAGGAGGACGAGGAGGACGAGGAGCGGATCCTCCTCCTCGTCGATGGCTAAATGGCGGCTCGGGCTTCACCCCATTAAACATGCCTACTAAAAAGAGTGGGAGAGTTGGAGCCCAAGTGGCTTCTCCTCCTCCTCCTCCTCTTTCCACTGTCTACTCCTTTGGAGACGGCCCCCGAGGGAACCGCCTCAAGATCCCTCCTCCTCCTCCACCTCCTCCTCACGTTCCTCCATGAGCACATGGAAGGGGGGGGGGGGGGGGGGCAAGGAAAGGGGCGAAGCAGGAGGGAGAAAGGAGAGAGGGAGGGTGAAGGAAGGAAGGGGGCACGGAAGGACAGATGGGGGTGGGGACTGGCAAGGGTCACGAAAATGGGAAAATGTAGGAGAGAAGGATGGGGAGGGGAATGGAAGGGAGTGCGTCAGTGAGGCGCTCCTCGAAGAGATTCTCTGAACCCCTCCTGCTGAAACTGAAGGCCAGCGCGTTGTCAACTGAAGGTAGACACCGATGTTAGAGAAGAGGCGGAAGGAGAGGGAGTGCATGAGCTGGCGAACTGTGGAAATCCAAAGGCTTACAACTGTCGTACGACCGTTATCGTATCTAATTAAGCACCGTGCCTTCGGCACGCTGAGGCGTGCGAAAGTGCCCGTATGTCTGGTAGACGACCGCAACCCTACTCTCGGGCGCACACTAACATAGATTACGGCTCCGTGGAGCTGGCGCGTGAGCGCCGAACCCACGGATCGGGGAAGGTGCCCCAGAAAGATGAAGACAATATTGTATCACCAGCATTGGCGACGGAGCGTGCTGGTTCCGTATGGAAACGGGAGCTGTCGCTGATCCACTTGTCTTGATCCACATCTGCGCTTCCTCGATACCTGCGGGGGGGTTCGAAGACCTTCGGCTAGCCAAATCCGTCCCAAGACGGCTGCAGGATGTCCCAAGATAAGCCCAAGACGGCCCAGCTCAAAGGAGTCCGCCCATGAGAACCGTCTGACAGGCAGCCGAAGAGCCCTCTACCGAGGCCATGGGCGGGGCCAAAGAACGAAGCACCTCAGGAAATTGACAACTCGTTGCATCAGATCCTATTCGGCTTCAGATGGCCACCTTAAGGCCCCTGAGAGCATCAAGACAGCCCCAGATCGGCCAAACGAAAACCAAGACTGCTCCAAGTCGGCCCAACACCGCTTCCAAATAAAACCCAAAACAGTCCCAATATTGCCTCAGGGCCTTCTTAATGATCCAGTCAAAAGGCCGAGCCCCTCTGCAAGAGTCAATAGAACTATCCCGCCCAACATTGGCAGAAGAGGCCCTAAAGCCCTCGAACGCAATCCCAGAGGCCCTCAACCTTTGAGGGAAGAGGGAGAAGGGAGAAGGAAACAGCGAAGGAGCTGCAGGAGAACGAGGCTGAAGACAAGGAGGGGGAGTTTCGACCCCGTGCCAATTCGGACAGGAATACGGACCAGAGCGGGTCTTACGCTCCTCCTCTTCCTCTCTGCCCCCTCCCTGCTCCATGCTTGCACCGCTGCGTTGGCACATTGGTAGGGATTGTCGCAGGCAGCTGTTAAGTTGCCCCGGCCCAGATGGATACAGGTATTGCCAGGTGCGCCCTTGTGAGAAAACAAGTGTACACTCGGCTCGAGACCCAGTCGGCAACCTGCTCGAAACAATGCTTGCAAGCTGGATGATCCCCGTGTCGTGTGCACAGTGGTTGTGTGTCGTGTGCTCATCTCTGTACAGTCTACCCCTTGCAAAGAGCCGCGTCACACCGCAGGGCACGTTTACGCACTGGGCATGGCATGCATGTCACGTATCTATAGCATCCGCACATGCAGGCAATGAGCATATGCATGCACACCCAAAGGTGGACATGTAAGTGTAAACGCATGTGTGCATATATGTACACATACATGTGTATATCCATATAATAAACTGAAAAGCTATGTCTGCCCGTTTGTATGTATGGATGTATGTGTACATGCGTGTATATGTGTGTATGCATGTATGTATGTTTGTATGCATGCATGTATGTATGAATGTATGTGTGTATGTGTAGTTGTGTGTATGTGCATGTGTATGTGTATGTGTGTATGCGTATGTGTGTATGCGTGTATGCAAGTATGCATGTATGTATTCATGTATGTATATATGCATGTATGTAGTTGTGTGTATGTATGTGTGCATGTATGTATGTGTGCATGTAGGTATGCGTGTATGTGTATGCATACATGCACGTATGTATGTGTGTGCATGCATGTATGTATGTATGATTGTATGTATGTATGTATGTGTATGTGTATGTGTAGGTATGCATTGTATTGCATGTATGTGTGTAGGCATGTATGTGTGTGTATGCATGCATGCATGCATGCATGTGTGTATGTATGTATGTATGTATGTATGTATGTGTGTGTGTATGTATGCATGTATGTATGTATGTATGTATGTATGTATGTATGTATGTATGTATGTATGTATGTATGTATGTATGTAGATGCCTATGTGTATGTATGTATGTATGTATGTTTGTATGTATGCATGTATGTATGTATATGTCTATGCGTGTATGCATGCATGTATGTATGTATGTATGTATGTATGTATGTGTGTGTGCGTGTATGTATGTATGTATGTATACATGTATGTATGTATGTATGGTTTGTGTGTATGGATGTATGTAGTTTCTATGTATGTATGTATGTATGTCTGTATGTATGTATGTATGCATGTATGTTGGTATACACATATACACCTATACATATATATATATATATATTCCTATATTTTCCCAATCCTGGGCGGGGGGAAACCCGTCGCCCCCCCCCCCCCCCCCCAAAAAAAAAAAAAAACAGACTCCAGGGATCTGGTGCTTTGGGACCCTTCGGACGGGCCTCGAAGCGGCCCCCTGGGCCTCGCAGGGCGTTTTGCCAAGCCTTCGCAGCACACCTAGGGCGATCAGGGGGGTCATCGGAGCGCAAGAGCGCTCCAAGAAGCCTTCATACCCCGAAGGATCGCTCCAAAACGTACCAAGAGGCCTCCAAGAGCACCCCCAAGAAGACCCCAAGAGGGAATATTCATAGATTTAATGTAGGTTTTTGGTGAATTTCGGGTTCTCCTCTTTTCGGCTTCCCGACGCTCCAAGACACGGTCTTCTGGGCGTCCGAAGTCGCCTGGGAGGCTCCCAAATCGCCCCGCGACTGTCCGAAAGGGCTTCCAGGCAGTCCAAGGGAGCCCCAGAACGGCATAACAGGGGTCCAAAATGACCCTAAGAGAGCCCCATGGCGGCCCAAGATGGCCCCAAGACACCCTCCGAAGCATTCCAAATCGTGACCGGGGCGTTGAGGGAGACTGCGGTTAGAGGCAGGTTGGCCTTATCAAGCCCCAGAGGCCCCCAGAACACGCCCTGGTGGTCTCCAGAAGGCTTTAAGAAAGCCTGAGAACTTTGGTGAGGCCCCCAGAGGCTCTCCAAGGAGGAGCCTCCGCAAACAGAGCTGAGGAGGATGGGGAGAATACCCAGGGTATGGCGAGAATGAAGAAAAACAAGCACGGAGGAGGGAGAACGAACAACATAATTATAACGGCGATGCCAGAAAAGGCAGCGAGGAATTATCGCAAAATTATCCGCTTGACCTTCCTGCCATTTCCGCCTGCATACCAATCTTCAAGGACCAAGGTGCATGGAGCGAAGCGCCACTGCAGTCTTGTATAGATATACATATATATATATATACATATATTTATATATATATGTATATCTGTGTATATACATATATATATATATATTTCCAGCAATCCGGCGTGTGAATTCATAAAAATTAGAGCCTGAATTTCAGCTCTGCTGGGGGGGGGCGGGGTGGCTTTGCTGGGAAAGGGGGGAGGGGTGGTCTACCCTTTCTGGGGTTGGGGGGGCTCTTAGGAAACAGGAGAGCCCCAACACGGGCCAAGAGGACCCCAACAGGCTCCCAAGACGGCCCCGGAGGGCCCCGAGTCGTCAAACGATCGGCCCAATACACCAAAGCTGGCCTCCATACCGCCCAAGGAGCTTCCAAGACGCCCGAAGAAGCTTCGAAGATGGCTCCCAAGAGGGCCCCAAGAGGCAACAATTGCCACAATGTTGAGCATATTCGCCTCGTGGGCTTTCACAGCGTTTTGAACGGCCCAAGAGGTCCTCATGATCGCTCCAGAAAATGCCGAGAGGCCCCCAAGAGAGCTCCAAGACGGCCCAAGAAGGCCCCAAAACGCCTAAGAAGCCCCAAAGACGGCCCAAGAGGCCCCCAGGAGTGGCCCAAGAGGGGGCCCAGAGGGGGAACAAAAATGACATTTCGAGCCTTCGACCCCAAGACGCCCCCAGGAGGCTTCAACAAGCCTCCAAGAAGCCCCCAAGAGGCCCCAAAAGGCCCCCAAGAAGGGCCCCAAGAAGGGCCCCAAGAAGGGCCCCAAAGGCCCCTAATAGGCCCTGGTCCTCCTTGACCTTGTCTTCCTTCTTCATCAAACCGTTCTTGCACGCCGAATGAAGCCCATCATCGTCATCGGTACGGCGGCCACCCCCGTGGGCATGATAATCTTCCTCTTTTGTTCCTCCTCCTCAGACTCTCTCTCCTCCTGCTCCTCCTCTTCTCCAAACTCCTCCGAACAATCGAA